CATCTGTAGCCCCCGACTCACTACTCAATGGAAGACCAATTGGTGTAGTGAGGCAGAGGAAAAGGAAAAATATCATATAAAGAATAAAATAAATGACGACTTAGCTTTGTAATATTCCCCTTGGTGATGGCAGAAGTAGCCAATGTGGGAACGAAGCAGTCCATCAATGGTGACAAAAACACCAGTCGGCGCCAGTGGAACCAAGCCAGTGGTGTAGATGATGAAGCCCATTAACAGCGGCGAAGTCCGTCAACCGTATAGGCAAAAACACCAGTCGGCAGCGGCGAAGGCCAGCCGGTCGGCGAAGACGTGGACGCCCAACAACGGCGGCATGATAGGCCAGCCGTGCAGGCGAGGACACCAGTCGGCGGCGACGAAGGCAAGCCGGCGGTGAAGTCGTAGACGCCCAACAGCGGCGGCATAATAGGCCAGCCGTGTAGGCGGAGGCACCACTCGGCGGCGACGGAGGCAGGCCGGCGGTGAAGTCGTAGACGCCCAACAGCGGCGGCATAATAGGCCAGCCGTGTAGGCGGAAACACCAGTCGACGGCAGCGAAGGTGAGCCAACGGTGAGGATGTAGACGCCCAACAGCGGCGGCATAATAGGCCAGCCGTGTAGGCGGAGGCACCACTCGGCGGCGACGGAGGCAGGCCGGCGGTGAAGTCGTAGACACCCAACAGCGGCGGCATAATAGGCCAGCCGTGTAGGCGGAGGCACCACTCGGCGGCGACGGAGGCGGGCCGGCGGTGAAGTCATAGACGCCCAACAGCGGCGGCATAATAGGCCAGCCGTGTAGGCGGAGGCACCACTCGGCGGCGACGGAGGCAGGCCGGCGGTGAAGTCGTAGACGCCCAACAGCGGCGGCATAATAGGCCAGCCGTGTAGGCGGAAACACCAGTCGGCGGCGACGGAGGCAGGCCGGCGGTGAAGTCGTAGACGCCCAACAGCGGCGGCATAATAGGCCAGCCGTGTAGGCGGAAACACCAGTCGACGGTAGCGAAGGTGAGCCAACGGTGAGGATGTAGACGCCCAACAGCGGCGGCATAATAGGCCAGCCGTGTAGGCGGAGGCACCACTCGACGGCGACGGAGGCAGGCCGGCGGTGAAGTCGTAGACGCCCAACAGCGGCGGCATAATAGGCCAGCCGTGTAGGCGGAAACACCAGTCGGCGGCGACGGAGGCAGGCCGGCGGTGAAGTCGTAGACGCCCAACAGCGGCGGCATAATAGGCCAGCCGTGTAGGCGGAAACACCAGTCGACGGCAGCGAAGGTGAGCCAACGGTGAGGATGACGATGCCCATCAACGGTGGTGTGACCAACCGACCGTATAGGCGGGGACACCAGTCGGCGGCGACGGAGGCAGGCCGGCGGTGTAGATGACGATGCCCATCAACGGTGGTGTGACCAACCGACCGTATAGGCGGGGACACCAGTCGGCGGCGACGGAGGCAGGCCGGCGGTGTAGATGACGATGCCCATCAACGGTGGTGTGACCAACCGACCGTATAGGCGAGGACACCAGTCGGCGGCGACGGAGGCAGGCCGGCGGTGTAGATGACGATGCCCATCAACGGTGGTGTGACCAACCGACCGTATAGGCGAGGACACCAGTCGGCGGCGACGGAGGCAGGCCGGTGGTGAAGTCGTAGACGCCCAACGGCGGCGGCATAATAGGCCAGCCGTGCAGGCGGAAACACCAGTCGGCGGCGGCGAAGGCCAGCCGGTCGGTGAAGACATGGACGCCCATGAACGGTGGTGTGACCGACCAACCGTATAGGCGATGACACCGGTCGGCGGCGACGGAAGCAGGCCGGCGGTGAAGTCGTTGTTGCTATCAGCAATGGCGGTGGCGAGGACAAGCCGGCGGAGTGGACTCGCGGCCGATCGACCGGAAAGCTGAGACGCCTCGAGTCCATGACCAGCATCAATCGCCTCAATAGTGCCGCGTAGTTATATGCGAACAACAACAAAAAATAGCAAGAAATTAATCTGAGATTAAAAATCAATATGATAAATAATGATAAAAATCAGATTGAGTTTCCCCCTGACTGATTTGGATCAAGTCAGAGAAGAGGAGCTTGAAGAAGTGGTCGACGGAAAGGAAGTGAAAACTCCCAAAGCGAAAGCGAAGTCGGCGACTCATGAAATTGATTCCATCGCGCTTGTTGATAGGAAACTCGACGCAACCCCTACCTGGCGCGCCAACTGTCGAAACATGAATTCGGCAATAATAAAACGGGGTAGCGCACGAGACCTAAAAGTGGATGGATGTGGAGACAAAGGATTTAGACAGGTTCAGGCCCTCTCGATGAGAGGTAATACCCTACTCCTGTTTGGGGATTTGAATCCGCCGGGTGTAGTATAGATCTGACGATCAGGTTGTCTCATGCCCCCTAGAGGGCCTCCTGCCCACCTTATATAGGGTGGGGGGCAGGATTACAAGATAGAAACCTTAACCAACACGGTATCGGCTTCCTAAATCTACTTTACAATATTATCAAATCAGGACTTTAGGCCGCTCCATAATATAAAAGGAAACGTAATACCCAAGTCATGATCTGTTACATATTCCATACATATATGTTATCCCCTATTACTAGTCGGATAACCATGCCGTGTGGGTATGGGGTACCCATAATCTCCACAATGCTATTATCACCTCTACTCAACGGCGGTGCTACCTCTGCTACTGCCAAGAAGCCCTTAATTAACGTTGCTGCGAAAACCCATGATTCTAAAAATTGTAGGGTCAACACTGTAGCGAGCTGCTAAGCCTACGATGAAGCAAGTATATGCATGGCATGTGCTTTTGTTCAGTGGACACTGATGATCGACCTGCGTTTTGTTGAGATCTGGATATACTGCAGGAATGGAATATTTTGTGGAAGCATCCGTGGATCTATCTGCGCTGCTGGATCGTCAGATCAGAATTTGGCGAAATGTGTATTTGCAAAAACATTCCCGAAACCACTAATCCAATGATGTATGTAACATACTGATGAATATATATGTGTCCAGTCGAGACTATGCAGCTCGGCAAAAGACACCATTTGTCAGCCTTGGAGCACATTAATTGGACGGTTCGACGGTTCGAAAGGGCGCGACACATGCAGAAAGCCCTACTGATCAGTAACAGTATGGATCATTCATCCGTGGATCAAGATCTAGGAACAATGGAACATGCACATCGAAAATGAATGATTGAATGATTCTCTGATCACGGAGAAAACAGAGAAAAAGAAAAATAGTTGGCTTATAAACTAAATTTGCAAGAGAGTAGGAAAAACAGTTAACTGAAGAAGTAGCATTTTTCTCTCCTTAATTGAGAAACACGCAGGGGTCTTCCGGCTAGCTTAATTAATAAGATGGTGGGCTAGCTAGCCTGGTTTCGAAGCCTCATCCATTTTATTTATTTGATATTACATCCTTCTCTAATATTCGTGTTTTTCCCCCTTAATTGGACTGGCTTTCTCGATGTAACAAGGATTAGCTATTTGTCAATCACCTGCCTAGCTGTATATATAGGAGACGACCCAACACACACTGATCGCCTTGCTCTGCCCAACTTTGGCGATGGATGATGCATCGCAAAGTATGCAAAGAAGTATAAAGTCTATTTTGACTAATTTTTAGGGTGGTGATATCTTAGCTAATATAATTTAGCAAGATAATTTAGCCGATACAGCATAAACCCTAAAACGAATCTCAGCTGATACAAAAGTAAATTAAGATGCTAAACTAGATTAACTAAGATATATGATAAATATGTATGCAAGTATACCAACCAAACCAGAGCGATCCAAGAGGTCGAAGCGATGTAGCTTTGAACAATACCAATGTAGTCGATACAATTGGTAGGGCCGGCCGAACGTAGGACTTACCCCTTCGCCGGAGATCGAAAGCCAATGCAGCCCCACGTCAGGTGCCAAGTCTGCATCAGGTGCTCCGCGTCAGCCGTTGCTAGCCTGCCGTGGTTGCCGAGAGGAGGAGAGCCAGGGGTGGGGGAGGGAAGGGGAGAGGTGGGGGGAGGAGCTAGGAGGGAGAGTCTGAGTGAGAGAAGGGGATATAAGATCAGTGGAAATTTTAATATAGAGAACTTATTTTTTTTTTGCTTTTTTTTTCAGTTGGTACTCCTTAGCCGCTACTAGCGAAATTTGTCGCTTAAAGGAACCGTTTGTAAAAATACCTCTATTTTTGCAAGCAGATATCTTAAGCGACAACCAACGAAAACTAATTTTCACTGGCAGTTGGTGATCGGAATCCCTCTTAATTATCTTTACAAGCGTGTGTTTATTAAACTTGAGGAAAAAAAAATAAAAGAGTGGTGCTATGAAAAATATATTTTTTAAAGTAGTGTCACTTATAAGGGCGATCCGTGCACACTGCTAAAGCCACAGAAGGAATGAATTAATGGTCGCCACATCTATCTATATCTCTCTACTTGTTCATGAAAATGGCCATCCAAATCCTACTCTATACTACGTATGTGTGTACAGCGTGATTCCACGCAGCCTTAGCTTACCCGTACCGTACGCCCGAGTATGCAAGCATGCACATATACGACAATCTGTTGTGGACAGCCATCACGGTCAATCGACACCCCATCCTCTAACCAATGATAAATCCCCATTCTTTCTTGATTTGACTTTCGTTCGAGGTTTTTAATAGCCGTAGACGAAAAATTGACCATTTGATTCATATAATTTTGCATCTCTGTATATAATGATGGAATTATAAAAACTATGGCATGTGTTTTCCGACTCCTAATTAAACGATGTGATTTTCGCATAAAAATATATACGACTTAGTAATATTGTTTTTTAATCTATTTTTAAAATCTTATAATAGTTAATTTATTTTATTTGTACTCGTACATAAATAGTTATCATAAAATCATTTAGCTATTCATGGGAAAAAATATTCCCGTAAGACAAGCTCAATCATAGCTTAAGAATAGACATAATTAAATTTTTTTTAGATAATGAAATATAATATCCGGCCTTTACTCAAAAGCATTGCATTCCAATCGAGTAACTGGAAATGTGGAAAAGCTATATACCAGCTGGGTTACATGCGTGTAGAGTAATTAAGCGTACGGTATGCTGTTGATCTTCCCAGTTACTCCCTCTAGTTTTTTTTAGATAATGGAATGTAACATTCCGGCCTTTACTCTAAGAGTTACAGCCAATTATTATGGAACTCACACAGAAAGTTCACGATAGCAGAAACAAAGCTAAGCAAACTAATAGACACCAACAAAAGAAAAAGATCCCCTAACTACTGAATTCTAATAGAGAACCTCCACCCGAAGTTGGCAAATAGATGCATAATTGTCGTCTCAAGTTTACGACATTCATCATTTATTAGCTTGATATCTTCATCATGCCTTTGCAACTGAGCCCAACCCCGAAGCCAATACGTTGCCCTGAAAAGCACCTGCAAATAGGATTTTGATGGTGTTTTATCAAAAACCATATCATTTCTACTAAGCCAAAGAGCCCAACATATAGCGGAAGCTCCAACAAGAATAAGTTTTTTGATTTTTTTACTAACACCCACAAGCCAATTCCCAAACATATGAGATATACTATGTGGAGGATAAAGTCCAAAAGAGAATTGTATAGCTCTCCAAAGAAATTTAGAAAAATGGCACTGAAAGAATAGATGGTGAATTGATTCATTTTTCATACAAAAGCAACATCTCAAACTACCATTCCAATTCCTTCTAGCCAAATTATCTTTAGTTAAAACAATCCCTTTAAGGAGATACCACATAAAAATCTTAATCTTAAGAGGCATTTTAAGTTTCCAAATAATTTTATTTCTTTCTATGTAACCATTATTAATTAAAGCTAAGTACATAGATCGAACAGAAAATTGGCCATTTTGATGAAAATTCCATCTAAAAATGTCATCCTCGTATGTTAAGTTAATATGCACAATGGAAGCACACAAATTATGCCATCTAATTAGATTCTGACCAACTAAAGCTCTTCTAAAAGAAACATTAAGCGGAACAGAACCCATAACATTAGCAATTGAGGCATTTTTCCTTCTAACTATAGAAAACAACGAGGGGTACTTTTCCTTCAAAGAATAGTTCCCTAGCCACTTATCCTCCCAGAATCTTACTTGTTCACCATTATTAATAATCCAGGAACCCATATTTAAAAAGGAATTCTTAACCTTCATCAGACCTGACCAAAAATGGGAATCCCCTTGTTTCCTCTCAACCTGAGTAATTGATTTACCAGTAAGATATTTTTGTTTCAGTAAATCTTGCCACACACCTTGCTCATTTATTAATTTAAATAACCATTTACTTAAAAGACATTGGTTTTGTATTTCTAAATTGTGAACTCCAAGTCCACCCTGATCTTTTGGTTGACAAATAATATCCCATCTTGTCAATCTATACTTTTTTTTATGTTCATCCCCTTGCCAAAAGAAACGGGATCTATAATAATCAATTTTTTGAAGAACCCCTTTAGGAATCTCAAAAAACGATATCATAAACATAGCTAGACTTGACAAAACAGAATTAATCAAAACCAATCTCCCACCAACAGACATATGTTTACCCTTCCAACTACTGAGTTTTTTTTCAATTCTTTCTTCAATTGTTATCCAATCTTTATTACTAAGATTTCTAAAATGCATTGGAATGCCGAGATATCTAACAGTAAAATCACCTAGCTTACATCCAAAAATATTTGAATATTGCTCATGACACTCCTTTGCTTGACCAAAGCAAAATAATTCACTCTTATGAAAATTTATCTTAAGGCCAGAAAGTTTTTCAAACGCAGTTAATAACAGCTTCATATTTTTTGATTTCTCTAAATCATGCTCTAGAAAAATAATAGTATCATCAGCATATTGTAAAATAGATAAACCATCGTCCACTAAATGTGGGACCAAGCCAGAGATCTCTGACCATCATCTTTTGCTCTCTTAATTAATATAGTTAACATATCAACAACTATATTAAAAAGAATTGGAGATAATGGATCCCCTTGCCTTAAACCCTTGTAAGTTTGAAAATTTGATCCCACCTGATCATTCACTTTAATGCCAACATGACCACCTTAGATAAAAGAAGCAATCCAATCACACCATTTTTGGGAAAAGCCCTTCATTCTCAAGGATTGTTGAACAAAAGACCATTTAACTTTATCATAAGCTTTCTCAAAATCAATCTTAAAAATGACACCACTCATTTTTTTTCCGATGCAACTCATGAATAGTTTCATGAAGAATGACAACCCCCTCCATAATATTCCTCCCAGGTATAAAAGCTGTCTGTGTGGGACTAATTACTTTCTGAGCTACCCCAGTGATTCTATTTGTAGCAACTTTAGTAAAAATTTTAAAACTGACATTAAGTAAACAAATAGGCCTATATTGTTGAATCTTTATAGCCTCTTTGCACTTAGGCAGCAAAATAATAGTACCAAAGTTAAGAGAGTAAAGATTTAAGCTTCCACTATGAAAATCTTTAAATAACTCAACCAGGTCTGTTTTAATTACGTCCCAGAACACTTGGTAAAACTCAACCGGAAATCCATCCGGACCCGGAGCTTTATTATGTTCCATCTGAAAAACTGCATCTTTAATTTCTTTCTCAGTAAATTCATCAACTAACGATTATTTTCTAGAGAAGACACCTGGGGAATATCACCTATAAGACTTTCATCCAAAGTTAAAGAAGACTCATCAGGTGGACCAAATAGACCTTTATAATATGTGGTAATATGTGCTTTTAAGTTTGCATCACCATTTATGATGTGGTCACCATCTTGTAATTGATAAATTCTTGTTTTCCTATGCTTACCATTTGCTACCAAATGAAAATACTTAGTATTTGAGTCACCTTCCAAAATATCTTTGGTCTTAGCCCGCTGATACCATTTAATTTCCTCTTCTCTAAGCAAACAAGCTAACCTATTCCTCATATAATGTTTAGCATTAAGCTCTTCCTGAGTTAACAAGGTTGATTCAGCTTTTTTATCAAGTAAATCAAGTTTTTCTAACAGGGCTTTCTTCTCCTTTTTATAGGTACCACTAGTTTGTTTAGCCCAACCTCTTAAAAATTGTCTTAGTCTGCGAATCTTTGCTTGCCACCTCTCTAGAGAAGTATTTCCTTCATCAACACTTAACCAAATTTCCTTTACCATATCAACAAAACCATCCCTTAACAGCCAACCTAACTCAAATTTAAAGTTATATTGACTATTACATACAGAAGATGAGTTTGTATTCAGGAGTAGAGGAGTATGATCAGAAATATCTCGATTAAGAGCAAATATCGTGGAAAGTGGGAATTTTTGTTCCCACTCCGTCGACATTAATACTCTGTCTAACTTCTCATAAGTAGGTACTGAAAGATTATTAGCCCAAGTATAATTCTTTCCAGACATTGAGAGTTCTTTGAGGCTAAGACCGTCTATGATAGCATTAAAAAGAAAAGGCCATCTATTATCAAAATTGTCATTATTCTTTTCCATAGTGCTTCGTAAAATATTGAAATCACCACCAACAATAATTGGTAAGGTTTCATGGCTACACATATGAACTAATCCAGAAAGAAAATGTTCCTTTAAATCATTTTGTGCAGGTCCATACACCAAGACTAAAGCCCATTTAAACTTCTCAATTTTGTTACAAAGATGAAACTTAATATAAAAATCGCCCTCATCAATTGAACCAATATCAAAAGTTTGTAAATTAATCCCTAATAACATACCACCAGAACACCCCCTGGGAGGTTTACAATGCCACAAAAAATCTTTCCCGCCACAAAGATTTTTAAGGGCACTAGATGTAAAATCTCTCTTAACAGTCTCCGATAAAGCAATGAAATCTAGTTGTTGTTCCTTTGTAAGATCAGAAATAATTTGGGTCCTTGAACCCATCACTGTTCCAAAAAAACTCCTTTCATTAAGACTATTGTAAAATTATTTCTTACACCTAACTTTCTTGTCACTTCTCTTTTTTATCGAAGGAGATATCATAGAATCAGAGGTGATATACAAATTATAATCATAATCACCACCCGTATCCATTACCTCCTCCATGATTTCACTACAAAGTTTTTCCAAAACTGAATTATCCTCCAACTGATCGTCGGTCAATTCATTTTCAGGAAAAACAGTAGAATTATGCTTGTCTTTCAAACTAATACAATCACTTAACCTAGCTTCTTCCAAACTCCTTATATCCTTAATAGCATTCACAAAATTACTATCATTGTTTGCATCGATAAAACCCAGTTTAGAAAGAGAGGACGAAATAACTTTATCTGACAAATGTAAAAAAGGAATCATTAAAATGCAAATTACCTTTAACATTCTGAACCTCCAAATTCCTCCCAGCTTTAATCTTTTCAGCCCTCTGCAAAGTGAGTTGATCACTATCACTTGCTCTTCTCTTGCTTTGTCTAGTAGGGGAGAGAATCGTGTCAGGTACTGCCGCTAACTTAACAGCTAGACTTTCATGAGACTTAACTGATCCTGCCCCAACAGATTCCTCCACAAGCCCATCAAACTCCTCATCAGATACTGTCAATCCTTTAATAATAGGTGACAAAACCTGAGAATCCTTTAATAATAGGTGACAAAACCTGAGTAGATGGCTCAGAAGACGTTCCTTTTCCTGAAACAGAACCACTAAACTGGCCACCACCTTGCAGTAGGGAACCATCCTTAAAATTACTTCCATCTGATCCCTTACCCTTATCTTGCACATCACTCCCATCCATATTTTTACCATCTTCTCTATCACCACTATTATCCATGTCCATGGGTTCAGGCACATCAAGCCCATTTTCTGGCTCCACCTTAAAACACAGCTCATACAAATTATCCCCAATAACCACATCCACCACATCAGGGATAAGAGAGGGATCTAAAACCAGAACTTGTAAACGAGCAATGTCATATCTTCTAGTAAAATTCATATCAACCATTTTTGTAATACCTAACATTGAACCAACCGCCCAAATAATTAAAAACTCCCTTAACTCAGAAGGTAAGCCTTTGCATTGAACCCATACCTTTGGCAACACATATTTCACCTCATTACTAACTCCCCTTTCAATTATCTTCATTTCTGCATCACTAACCTTAGTATGTACTATTCCCCATTCTACCATGCGTTTCAGTTCCGCAGCAGAAGGAAAAATAGTACGAAAAGTGTTATCTCCATTATCTTCCACCACCCACTTCCAATTTCCAGGAATCAATCTCTCCAATTCAGAAACAACGGTCTGCACCGTCATTTGTCCTCTAGTTACTTTAACTAGGGCAGCCTTAGAATCATGTTTTATTCTCTGGCCAGCTGAAAGAGGGATATGAAAAAAACCAAGACCATCCACTGCATACCCACACAACTCAGCTGAGGGTTTATTATTAGACCTAAAAATAGGACACCTGGATCCTATATGGTCCTCACTTTCACAAACCTCACAGTAAAATTTAGATGTACATTCCTGCAACGTATGGCCTTTAGTATAGCATCTATAACAATATGGATTCTTGTTAATACCTTTGCCACCTACATGCACACTCAGCTGATTATCCACCTTTGCTTTACCAGAGCTCTTGTCCCCCATAATTAAACCTCTACCTGCATTCTCTTGAGTAGATGGCGTAACGGTTGGTTGTGAAGTCCCAACCATCGTCTATACTGCAACCACTCCAGCCGAGGCACCAGATTCTCCTACAGCGGTCAAATGCCGATCACCAGCTACCCCGCCAGGAAGATGCACATTATCACCAAAAGGAGCAATCCCAGCCAGTACAGAACCATTGCCTCCAGAGTTGCTACTAGTCTGTGCACCGGCGCCCGTCAACCCGGCACCATGTTGAGCTGCTGTCGATCCCTGCGCAACACCACCCGCAATCATCCCGCCACCAAACTGTGCAGCCGCTCCTCCAAATTGTGCCAAGCCACTGCCGGCAGCCAATAGAGATGCGTCGCCACCACCAGCCGGCACCGGAGGAAACTGACCAAACGGCAACGGGACCGGCTGCAATCCAAAGCTAAAGGTTGGAGATTGCCCAAACCTTAGCCCAGGATTATGCCCAAAAATTGGCCTAGCTTGCAGACCAAAACCACCTTCGGTATTTCTAAATTTTTCCTGTCCAAACCAGCCATCTCCTCCGCCATGGGAACCAGCATTTGGTTGCCCACCATTGCCGTTCCAACCTCTTCCACCTTGCCCCTGCCGGCCTCCACCAAAATTCCGAGCTCCAAAGCGATTTCTGCCAAACCGGCCTCGAGCACCTTGAAAACCTCCCTCGCCATGACCTGGATGAAAGTTTGCACGAGCAGCAAAGCTGCCTTGTCCTCCCCCTCCATGAACAGGACGCTGGTTCTTTCTCTCCATTGAACGACGAACTACAGCGGCGTACGAAGGAGGCGGCACAGATCGATCCGTAAACCTAACCTTCTGGCGCACTGTCCCCGTTTTTGCGAATAGAGAGACAAGACCAGGTGTGGGCCTAAAAGGAATACTGGGCCTATGTGGCAATTGCGGCAAAAACTCATCCAAAACCTCACAATTCGAAATAGATGAATCACCCGAAAGTTTTGGAAACGCATCCAAATCGGATCGAGGAACCGGACTCACCGCCGGAGGAGACCGAGATCTCGCCGGAACGGAAGAGACTACCGGAGAACATCTATTACTCTGAATTGTAGAAGGAAACGACAAAAAAACTTTACCCTGAATCGCTGCTTTGATAATACCTCCAATCGTTCTTGGCGGCGATCGACGAGGCGCAGGAAGAGGACCACTCCAAGGCTTCGTAGCCGGCTCCAAGTGTAAATGATCTTCATCTTCAGAAACACCCTACAAAACTGAAAAACGAGAACCTGACGAAGTTTCCAGCTGCGTCCTCGCCGCCAACTGCAACCGGGGATGACTAGCCATCGGCCTTGAAGCAGTAGAAGCCGCCAGCTCCACCATCTGTGCCAGCTTGAACCGGACCTTTGCATCTCGATCCTCTTTGGACAAAGCATCAGATGGCGTCTTTGTTGGTGTTGATGCTGCAGCCCAGCCCGGAGCCAAGGTAAGCCCTTTACTCCCTCTAGTTAGGTTTATCTGATGCTTCTGAGAGCTAAAATACTATGTGTAAGCCATTTTCACTATCCGAAACGTCACATGATTTCATCCGATGGTAGTAAGCACACATTTTCAATGAAAACTGATAAAATAAATTCATGGAATTTCAAGGTTTAATTTCGACGCCATAGACGAAAGTGGATTCCAAGTGAAAATTTTGAACCTCTAAAAAAGGTGAAAAATTCGGAGGATTTTTGAGAAATCATATTGCAAACAATAGATTTTATTGAAATCGAAATTTGACAAAAAAATAGGATTTATCCGGCATTCGGTCGATAATTAAGGCGAGTCTCGACAACTGGTTAATTTATGACAAAATTTATTGCAGAACACTCGAGAAGTATGGTATTTGCTAATAGACACCACAAGAATGTGAATCTGTTTGATAATATGTTAATTTGTCACAAAACATCGGACGCATTAAAATATATTATCCATCCAATTAATACGAGAGAAACCACATAAAATATGAATTTTGCCCTTATCTTCTTCTCCCTTCTTTCAGTTTTTCTCCGGCACCGAGTTATTTGCCGCTGCCGCCCGTGCAGTCATGCAACCACTACTCACGTTCGTGTGAGCACAAGCGCTGTGCACCCATGTCTCATAGCAAGGTCGCTGCAGTCACGCTATCATCACTGTTGCAGCCACCCCCACCGTGAGGTCACTGCCGCCTCTCCTCACGCAGCGCGCTACCCCCGCCGCACCACCTAGTCGTGATGCTGCTCCTCACGTGCTCACTCCCTGCTGTGCTCCATGTCACAGTCCACTCATGTGACCCTCTCCCTCAAGGCCGCTGCCATCGTGTTGGCCTACTATGTAGTCCTCACCGCTACACCGCTAGCCACCCGCTACAAAGTCGCTACCGCCACACCATACAGTCGCATCGCCGGTCCTCGCACCGTACACCCTCAGGCTGTGTTCTTACCCCCAGGTTTCCTAAAACATCTCTCTCGTTTTTCGCGTGACGCTTTTCAAACTGCTAAACAGTGTATTTTTTACAAAAAGTTTCTACACAAAAGTTGCTTAAAAAATCACATTGATCCATTTTTTTTTAAAAAAAGCTAATAATTAATTAATCATGCGCTAATAGACCGTTCCGTTTTCCGTACGCACTGTTCCGGTTGGGAACACGCTGGAGCGAACACAGCCTTACTACGCGTGAGAGGAATGGATGGTTGGAAGAAATCCGGGGCACCAAAGTCATTTTAGTTAAATTCTCTCTCCGATCCTAATGGAAATAATAATTTAATAGTCTTAGTGTGTTTTGTAGCAAATTACTCCCTCCGTCCCAGAAAGGAGGACGTTCTAGGTTAGTTAGGAAAAAATAGTGTTGTGTGAAAATGACCATTTTGCCCTCAATTTATAGGATTGGGGCTAATCATTTGAATGCTTAGTAGGAGTACGACAAGTACACTGCCACATCTGTACAAAAGGAATATTTGAAGCATCCAATTAATGTTGGGTGCTACTACTAGTATCAACACTACAGATTGGTGTTATACACCTAATTCGAGTGATATGGCGCCAAAACATAAGGGCTTAAAATAATCCAACTGGTCTAATCAAATTCAAAAACTCCATGGATGGTGCTTTGCCGCCCAAGGGTACCCTCCATAATCCTCAAGCAGCGAGGCAGCTACAAGCCTTTTATCACTTCATCCATCATCCTACAAACCAACTCCACACCTACCCATCACAATGGCTATAGATCTAAACATATTAGCAGAAGAAGAGGAAGATGGAGGGGCTTTACCTGACCTCAATGAAGCACAAGCCAATCTAGAAGAAGAAGTTCCTGGAAGGCATGTTATCTAGGTAGATGACATTGCTCGAGTTGCTTGCCATGGAAATGATCAAGTTGTACATTCTTTTGATCTCAACTTGGGAGCTTTTGATCTCAACTTGGAAGCAACAGAAGAACAAGAACAACTGCATCCAGGTTTTTTACTTCATCTAATCTTTCTCAATGCATAAAATGGGTTCTTTCTCAGTACATGTTGATTGCATTAGTAAATCTAGCTCTAAAAACCTATGGTGTTGTATGACATGCAACAGCAGATTATACCCCCTCATCAGCACACATGCTCTATCTCTCTCTCTCTCTCTCACACACACACACACACACGATCTGAAAAGAACAAAAGGTTGCTACTGTGACAGTTTTGCAGAGTTTAGTTCTTCTAGTTCCATTATCATGTATCAGAAGACACTTTAGAAACTAGACAACAGGTGTAGTAATCATAGAGAGTAAAACTCAAGACATGTCACTATGGTTTCAAATAGATTAAAGCATTGGCAAACAAATAGATTAGATTTCAGAGCCTAGTATGAAATTTTAGTTCACATTTAACCATTTCTTTTCAGAATCCTAGAGCATCTGGACTTTACAGAAGATAGAGAAAACAAATGAACTGTAAATAGCACATTGTTACCTAACATCGAATTAGGGAGGAAGTAACTTTGGTCATGGCCACAGCATGTTGGAAGAATTAACAGGCACAACCTATTGGTGAGCAGAACGATGTCAATATTTACTAACTGATTTTGTTAATTGCTAGTACAAAGAACCAATTTATTGCCAAGAACCCACACGTCTTGCCAAATTTTAGTATTTAATATTCATCAACAAATCACGTGTTTATGATGCGAAATATTGAATCATGCTTAGATGGTCACATACTTGTGAAATTTGAATTGTGAAGCATCCTTAACTCCAGATCCCAGTCCCAGACACAATATTCCTGTTGACCTGCTACTGAAAATAAGCAAGAACTGTATTAAGTACCTGAAAAAAATTACTTGTACAGCACTAGAACTTAAATAGAGCTAAAGATAGAATTAAATACATAACTGAATTAGCATGACAACAAATCAATGCTACCTTACGAACAGATGTTATGCGTTGCAGGACTCTTATCATGGCAAAACAATATTAAATGGAATGCAATAAAGATCCTGTGTGGTAACGGCTAGAACATTAGATGGTGCATGACTCTCCATTGAACAGATCAAGTCTTCCAGCTATATGGCACTATACTGCTTACTAACTTGTGGCTTTGGTTGCACATTACATAATGCATTAAAGTTAGAGTGATTAAATATCTATGGTTACCTAATTGTTACTAGCTAGAAGTATATGGATATATTATACATAGCAGGCTCCTCGGGAGTTTATCTGTAAGTTTCCATAGTTATTAAATAATATATCTTCAATTTTTTATGCAAAGTTGACTCAAATAAATTAATAGCACACACCTTGCTCTGCTCGCTGATATTGGAGGACTCCACCACGAAGTGCTTGCTCGGTTCAGCACTGTGGTTGGCCATTGTCCCCTGCCACAGGTCACCTCCCTGCGGATAAGAAGCATTCGACGAAAAGGAGGCCTTGGTAATGGTAGAACTGGGTCGTCCCATGCCATAAGTCACATTGGAGCTCATCAGCTTGCCAATTTTACCGCCTCGCTTCTTCTCCATTTCAACACCATCGTGAATCTTTTTCTTGGGCACAACGTCAATGAACCAATCTTCAAATACGAAGTCGCCTCCTTCATCATCCAAATCAGGCCAGAACTCATACTCATCCATATCGGGCCCATCCTGGGTATCAAAGATCACGTTCTTGCCTTCTTCTAAACATCGGCCAGATTCACGATGAAACCACTTGCCTCGAACCCGCTGCCCGCACCACATCTGGGCAGGCTGTTTGCATTCATCATTTGAGTGCACTATGTTGCTGCCGCCACAAATCCCACCACCCTTCTCCACTTCCCCGCAATCCTGAATCTCACCACCATTCTCCTTCGCTTCCCCACAATCTTGAATCCCACCACCCTTCTCGTTCACCTCCCCACAATCCTGAATCCCACCACCCTTCTCCTCAACTTCCCTACAATCCTAGAACTCAGTTTCGGGCACAAACTCCTGATCTAAGGAGAAGCAGTACTCGATGCCTTCATCATCAGAATCAGGGATGAACTCAATCTGGTCGTCGTCGGACCCATCTTGTGTATCCAAAACAAAATTCTCACCTTCTTCCAATAATTGGCCAGATATTCGACAGTACCACATGCCTCGACGCCGTTTCTTACCGCGCATCTCTCTCATCCGATTCCTATGGCACACACTTCAACTCTATCTAACTGGCCCCTTTGAATCAAAGGAATTATGGAGGAATTTCATAGGATTGAAATCCTATAGGAAATTTTCCTACGTAGCTCTTTGATTCAAAGGATTAAAGTTTTCTAAATCCAACAAAATTCCTATGGAATGGCTTGTTGCATATAGATTTTGGAGGAAATTTAGCAAGAGGTCTAATCTCTTGGTAAAAATCCTTTGAGTCTATCTCTCTCATCCGATTCCTGTGTTTTTCATGTGGTCCAATCAAACGATCATTCCTGTGTTTTGTAATCCTCTGTTTTATACTTGCATTCCTGTCAGAATCCTATGTTTTTTCTATTCCTTCGTTTTTTTCTTCCTACGATTCAAAGGAGCCCTAAAAGTTTTTATTGTGTCAATATTACCACTAGGAAAATCTTGGCCGATCTCGAGTTGTCGACCATGGAATTATTAACAATGAACGGTCCAGATTTACTCTAAACCAATTTACCGTACCAATCTCTGAAAAGGATCCGACGGATCACATAAAAAAAAACAGCCAAACGCAAAGCGGGCAAAAAAACACCAAATCTCACCAAACGACATTCGTGCGGCGCAGGTGGAGTGGACGGAGCAAGGCCGAAACGGAAGGCCGCAAACAGCAAGCAGCGTTGCCGGCCTTGGCTTGGCTGGTGGCTGCTGCGTGCGGCGGGAAGCTTCCCGGAAGCTTCGTTTGCCGCCCCCCCCCCCCCCCCCCACCCACGTCGCCGTCCCCACGCAATCAAACCGCCACGGATCAATCACCCCCCGCCCCGTCCGTACGTCTGCGTCTGCAGCCTTCCGTTTCGTTTTCCCATTTTCCCCCTCCCTCCCTCCCTCTGCGACTCTGCCAGTGCATTGCCTATCTCTATATATCCATCCACCCATCTCATCTTTTGTCTCTTTCTGCTGCTGGAGTAGTATTGTTCATTTATACATGCGATAAATATCGAGATTAAGCGGAAACTAAACATATATACCCTCGAATGAATTAATGAACTGAATCCGTAAAATATGTATGGTAGATCGGTAGTACGTGTTTGTTCCTTTTTTTTATATAAAAAAAATAATTTGCTGGTGTTTGATGATGCGAAGGATTGCATTACATTGATGATCCAATAATTCGCTCACGACGAAACCGCATAATTGCATTTGTGGTTTTGTTTCTCCTCCTCGGCTCCTCCCTATATATGAGCTCGCCACTGCTGCCGCTTCTCCTCGTCCTGTACAAAACTACACACCATCACGAGAACCTCCTCGTGGCGGCGAGCTCTCGCGACTCGACTCTCGCGTCGCGCGCGCGCACGGCGCCATCAATCGATTCTCACATCCATCCATCTGCCTATCTATCTCTCGCAATTCTGGCGGCGCGCTGCGCGCATAGGGGGGGATCGAATTTGATCTAGTGGTGATGGAGGCGGCGGCGGCGATGGAGGCGGGGCGGAAGCTGGCGGCGCGGCACCCGCACGGGCGGAGCAGGACGGCGCACAACATGTCGTCGTCGTCGCTGCGGAAGAAGTCGGACGCCGCGCTGGTGCGGAAGGTCCCCGTGGCGCCGCTCCGCCCGCTGCTCGCCAACCTCCAGGAGGTCTTCCTCGCCACCAAGCTCGCCGTCCTCTTCCCCGCCGTCCCGCTCGCCATCGCCGCCCAGTGCTTCCGCTTCGACCAGGTTAATTCAATTCCCCATTCCATTCCATTCCATGTTCGCTTTGACCATCCTCTTGTCTGCTTGGTGTTCGTTGCATCTTTTTTTTTTTCATCTTTTTTTTTTCGAGTTCGGCGTTTGCAAGCGGCGGTGACCAGGTGGCAGGCCGCTGCGGCGCCTATTTTAAGTTTTTTTTTAACTAGTATAAACCGAGATATAGTACTGTAGCTTTTTGCTGGTAAGGCCACATGGGCAACTGCACGGCTGCACGAGGGCTGTGTCCTTGCACTCCTGTTTCTTTTCTCTCTCTCTCTCTCTTTGACACTTTTATTTATGGTGTAGGATTAATTTTCGTAACTGTAGTAGAATTAGCCATCAATGTCTAAAGTGGTACTAGTAACAGTGTTAAAAAGTATACATACAAAAAATGTTGTCTTGTACCACTAGTACTAGTGTTAAACTGGCCATGGACGTTCCGGTGGACTTCCTGATTCCACTTGAAAATTAGGCGCTGTTAGGCTAATAGGACATGGAAATTATTTCCCACTCACTAGAATACATCTTTAAATCATAACCATTCATTTTCGCTCTTTCATTTAATCCTAACCCTTCGTTCATTTCCAAATCTCAATCCCACCTCACATTTCTCATTATCTAAACACACCCTTAGTACATACATTTATGGCCTCTTTTAAAGAAGTCAATAAATTACAGAAATTTCTCATACATCAGTTCAATTTCCACAAAATTCCTAGGCTTGATGACGCAATAAGCATCCATGTCTGCCAGATGGCCCAGATGTAACCTGAAATACAGGCCTAGGAGTTAAAATGTGGAGCACTTCATTATTCAGTATTTTAATTTTCTGTTATGAACTGTTAGCTTGTGATTTCCTCCCTCCTCTGTGATAGTAGAATATTCCCCCGCAAAACATATTTTGTGGAGTAGTTTGTATTGCTTGCTGGTGGAGCCTATTAGCTTTGCCAGTTAGTTTGCCTCGTCGGGACACAAATATTCTGCCGTGGAGCCCTGAGCTTTGAAGAAAACCCATCTGTCTCCTTGCAGCAAAAACTGAACTTAATTTGTCATCTTGCAAATTGCACTCGATTCCTCTTTGATCCGCCAAATTAGCGGCGTCATGCCGTTTTGCTGCTTGCTGAGTAGACGACAGGATTCTGCCGGTACAAGCGGCTGGGACGATGACGAATCCAACCCATTTAATTCTTTGCCTCTTGGTTGAGTGTACTTCTACCCCAGAAAGTGATCAATCTCCGTTGTGTTTTGGAGCTTGGTGAATCAGGGGGTTTGATTGTGTGTTGTGCTAATAGATTTAGCTTGATTTTTAGTTTCGAAAGGAAAACAGATTTAGTTTGGTTTGGAGATAAGTTCACACTCTGCTGCATGCATCATGCATGGATGATGAGTGAAGCTGCTTCCAGTAAAGGTTGGAAGTGTTGGATTTTAGTGGTTGAGGCCAACAGTCTGTCACATTTCCTGATTAGTTGGAAGAGACATGTTTTATTCCTGATTAGTTGGAAGAGACATGTTTTATTCCTTCCACGTGGCATCTAATTATTTAATTGTGATGCAGGTATTTTTGCTGATCCAGTGCTAGTAAATTAGTGATAAAATAAAATAATGCGTTACCTTACAGTACTTTCCCTTTTTTTTTGTCGATATGTCTTCATCTTATACTTTTAACTACTATTGCACATTAATCCAATATGTGTTGACATTGGGAAACAAATATTTATCTTGACAGGTGTGGGTGTTCGCTCTTAGTTTACTGGGCCTCATCCCTCTCGCCGAGAGAGTCAGCTTCCTCACAGAGTAAGCTACTCGTTACAGAAGCAATTTTTATGTCCAGTTTTTAAAAATTCTGTTTATAATTCGAATGCTGAAATTTTGCATTTTGCTACTGAAATTTTGCAGGCAGATTGCACTCTACACCGGTCCCACCGGTAAGTCACAACGATCAGTCCCAAACTGAAAGTAATTTAAGACTTCATATTATTCGTGGATGGAATCATCTTTCTTAACATCAAAAAATGGCACTTGTTTCTCTATTCGTTGTAGCAAATGTTTTTTTAAAATTATAAAAGATCAGAGAAAAATGTCTCATATTTTGCTAGAGAAACCAAAAATAATTAATGCTACATTTGTCCACATGCAAAACGGATGGATCTATTAGCTCTTGATTAATTAAATATTAACTAAAACAAACTTAAAAGATGGATTAATACGATTTCTTAAATCAATTTTTTTCAAAATTTTTTCAGTTTGAAAAAAATGAGCACGGAGAAGAAAAAAATGAGCTACCAAACACAGCCTAAGCATTGTATATGAAGTAATTGAACTTGCTGTTGTGGTGTGTTGATGATGGTGTATGCATGGGGGGCAGTGGGCGGGCTGCTGAACGCGACGTGCGGGAACGCGACGGAGCTGATCATCGCGCTGTTCGCGCTGCTCAAGGGGAAGATCGAGGTGGTCAAGTGCTCCCTGCTGGGCTCCGTCCTCTCCAACCTCCTCCTCGTCCTCGGCACCTCCCTCTTCTGCGGCGGCGTCGTCAACCTCGGCGCCCGCCAGCCCTACGACCGCAACCAGTCCGACGTCAGCACCGCCCTCCTCTTCCTCGCCGTCCTCTGCCACTCCGCCCCGCTCCTCCTCCGCTACGCCGTCGCCGCTGGCGAGCACTCCGTCTCCGCCACCTCGGCCGCGGCGTCCCTCGACCTCTCCCGCGCCTGCAGCTTCGTCATGCTGGCGTCCTACGTCGCCTACCTCTTCTTCCAGCTCAAGACGCACCGCCAGCTGTTCGAGCCGCAGGAGGTGGACGGCGGCGACGCCGGGGACGACGACGAGGAGCCGGCGCTCGGGTTCGCCAGCGCGCTCTTCTGGCTCGCCCTCATGACCGCCGTCATCTCCGTCCTCTCCGAGTACGTCGTCGGCACCATCGAGCCCACCTCGCAGTCATGGGGCCTCTCCGTCAGCTTCATCAGCATCATCCTCCTCCCCATCGTCGGCAACGCCGCCGAGCACGCCGGCGCCATCATCTTCGCGCTCAAGAACAAGCTGGTAATTCAAACAAACAATGTGCATCCCATGCAAACGATCAGAGTCGTCTCTCCTGAAAACAAAATCAATGTTTAACTTGCTAATTAATGTAACATAATCTGGTGTTTGATTCAGGACATCACTCTTGGGGTAGCTCTGGGATCGGCCACCCAGATATCCATGTTCGTGGTGAGTGCTGCTGCTTAACTTACCCAGTACAGATCCTGTAGTTGTTCTGCTCTCATCCGGTTGAACGGATTGCCAAATCATGATGGGGTTGCAGGTGCCACTGAGTGTGCTCGTGGCCTGGATCATGGGGGTCCAAATGGATCTTGACTTCAAGCTGCTAGAGACCGGCTCTCTGTTCATGGCGGTGCTGGTGACGGCCTTCACCCTGCAGGTACACTGTGACTCATGCATTTTTACTTTGAACAGGTGGAAATGGAATTTAGTCACCGAAAATTACTCAGATAACAGGATAACATCTTAAGTGACATGTTGCAATTCAATGTGTCAACTAATTAATGGGCTTGATTTACAGGATGGAACATCACATTACCTGAAGGGGATTCTCCTCCTCCTGTGCTACATTGTCATCGGCGCATGTTTTTTCGTTGCAAGACAACCTGCAGGTATGTTTGCCTTTGTAAAAAAATAGCATGTTTTTGCACTTGATTGTAAGTCGTATTCACAATAATCCTTCGCATGATAGGCCATGCAAACAGCAATGGAGCCTTGCTGGATGTACCAACCGGTTCCATGAGTGTTCAGGCCGCATGATGGGTAAGCTAGCATAATCTTGTTCTAGCTAATACAAAGACATGTGATCATTTAATATAGAACATTGATCTTTAATTTTGAAGAAAATGATAGAAGATGACTTAAAAAAAATCAATACGTATGTATAGCTTCTGGTACTGCCGTATCTCTCTATGTGGACTACCATATATTTGTCATGATTTCCAGCATCTGGTGTGACAGAGTAGCTAATTTGTCGGACTCTTGGAATGCTTAAGTATGCCCGCATGTGTCTGAACAAGTCATCAAATAATAGCATGTAGTCCTGACAGGATGCACACCAATCCCTTTCATTGGTATTAAACTATATACTAACCTTTTGGAACAGAGTGTTTTTACTCTTGGAGAGCAGAGCTGTACTGTAGTGCAATAGTACTTAATTTAAGCTAACCACCTGTACTCTGCACAATTCTTAACTATGTCCAGTCAGTTATCTTCATATGAGAACATGGAGGTTTTTGTCCTTCAAATGAGCAAGACTATTAGTAATAAGATTTCCAGCTCCATAATGTGCATCTGATGCATGGGAAAAATTTCAGATCAAGATGTCTCCTGAACAAAACATGGAGGACAGCAAGCAATGTACCTTGGCTGTCAAGTCACTTGGGAGGGTAGCTCTTCATGTGCCAGCAAGACAGATCATCATGATCATCAGAGTTTCCTGAAGGGATGCATTGGAAGTTGCACGGAATGCATGTCAAGGTGTTACTAATCCTTATAGGATAAGGATGCAATAAGGATATCCATATATATTTGTGCCCAATCCTATACCCAGTGTACATGAGCACATTTGTTCCATCTATGCAGCTCTCAATAAGATAGTATTTGCGGTACAAATCTATGCTCTCCTAAGTCCTAACAGGGTGATGATGTAAGAGCAGATCATGTTTATGTCTGCAACTCTACTTCTCTATTTCATCTTAAAACTAGAATGTTTTTCACCATGATCCGATAATGAAGTGACAACTGCCGAGGTTTCAAGCAGCGTAACAAAAAAGAAGATTAGGACAACCAAAAGAAACGCCTAAGAAAACCCACCATTTCTATGAATTGAGACTGAAAACTCCTGTTTTGTTTTCTGGCATCTCCTTTTATCAAGATGAAAACATTCTGTTCATTTCCTTCCATGTTGATATAAATGTACAGTTCGTAAGGAACAGAAGAAGTTTTTTCTTTTAAAAACATAATGCTTAAATAATGTTTCTTTTTCAAACATCTGTCCATGTTCTTGCCTAGGAGTTAAATGTGCCTAATTTGTAAGGCTCAGAATAGAACTAGTTTTCATTTACCTTGAGAAGCCTGAACAAAACAGAGGATGCTAGAGAGCAAGCAATCTTCTGGCTTCATGTTGTGAAACACCACAATGATGATATCAGAGTCCTGAATGGTACCCATTGTTGCACGAAATGCAGCTTCAGGAGTCAACTTCATTGCCAATTAGCCAAACCAAGAAGGAAACACGACTCCTATGTGATACCTAATAGCAGAAACACGAACTGTGCAGCAGATCATATTAGGAACAAAAACACAAGGAACTTCAGCCTAAATACTTGGACATATTATGCCAATCTTTTATCTCCTTAGCAGTACTTTTGTTGTACTCCCTATATGTTAATTTATATACCCGGTACGAGTAATGATCGACTAAAACATGGGTGAGCACTGAACAATCCTGCATAAGATTAACTGTATTTTACTCAATATTATCCCTATCTAATTGAAAAGGCAATTCCCCTGCCAGAATTTTAGAAAAAAAGAAGAAATGAGACAGCAAGTGTAAACTAAATCTTTGTTCAATCGTAGAACTAGAAGTAGTATTTTGTTCAAGTGTAAACTGATGAGGTGGACCTGATATCAGAAACATAGTGAAGTGATTTTGAGTTAGCCTTTCCAGTCCAACTGAACTATGCGCATATACTTTGTGTTTATATAAAAAAAAAGTAAAAAGGATAACAATGTATAAAAGAGAAGACAGAAGGACATAAGAGTACACCCATGCCTAACTTAAGAGAGAAAAGGCACCAAGAGATACATGATAAAGAAATTAAAAATATTATTAGGTTATTGGCTGCAGTAGTCTACATGGACTGGATTCCCTAAGTTAGTTTCAGCCTGTCATATTCTGCATATTTAAATGCATGGTTCCATACAACCATCCATAAAAAACCTGCGTTTTTTTGGATCAATTCAGAGCCCTTTCGAGCAGCACGATTCATAAGGAGAATGTAATATTTTTAGTCAAGAAAGAAAAGTGTGTGCAATGCTTGAAATAAACATTCACCAGACTTGCAGTATGACAATGGGAAAGCCCATAAACAAATTGGATGTTATAACTGGAAATTCAGTTAGCGGATACGAGATAGAGCTCTCACTCCTCTCAGTTAATCTGCTCTTTCCATGTTTAGATATTCTGTACTGACAATGCATTCAAAACCATAAGATATTCTTCTTGATCGCACAAATGACTAAAACCGACGATTAGCAATATACCACCTGTAAATTGCACGATAGATTAAACATTATTGTCAGCTATTGCCACCTTGCGAATCATTAGGGTCTCCATGGAGGCCGCACTTGAGATGCCAATCTGCTAGCACGGCCTGAAGAACGGACCATATCACCAGTAGGACGTTGGCTGTTCACCGGCCGTCCTGCCCGTCGCTGCTGATGCAGTGGAGCACGCTCTCTCGGCTGCTCACTGCTGCCACGCCTCATGTTAGCAGCCTGCGATCCCCATGCCCGGCCATTACTGATCTGAGGTCCGCTGTGCTGCTGCTGGAGATGGACACCAGGAATGTAGAAGCTCGTGTACGGCACGACAGCGTAGAAGAACCCATTCTTGCACACCTTGGTGACACGCATTGATCTGAGCTCAAGTGTGAAGACACCCGCATCTGTTCTCAGGAAGATGATATTGGCACCCTCCACAAATCCAATTGGTAGCACTGGGGTAGAGTGATCAAGATTTGGTAGCAGACTGTCTAGCTCAATGACCCTGCACTTCTCCCAATTTGCCACACCATGTCCATGATCCAGGCTCACATCCATTGACCACACAGAGAGGAGGCTGTGATCCTCCACGGCCGCGAGCCCAAGCACGCCATCGTTGTCCAGCGGCATGAGCACGAAGCCATCGTCGAGCTCAGCCGGCGGATCGATGAGGGAGAGGCGATGGCGCTTCATGTCGAACTTGACGACTCCGATACCAAACACGAGGGCGAAGTAGAGCGAATCTCCGATGAGGGTGGCGGGCTTGCCCTCGACGCAGAACTCGGGTCCTCGGGCGAGGCGAGCGGAGGTCGGTGGGCTCCACTCGTCGGACTCCGACGAGTACACGGTCGCCCACGCCTCGTTGTCCTCCTCGGTGCCCACCACGACGACGCGGAAGGGGCCCTCGTGGCAGTCGAGGTGGTCGCAGCCGGCGGCGGCGGCGGCGCAGAGCACCGCGGCGTTGTAGTACAAGAGGTACGGGACGTCGGGGCGGGGAAGCCGCCGCAGCAGGTGGCCCGTCATGGGGTGCCACACGACGAGGTCGATCCTGGAGGGGTAGGCGTCGAGGAGGGCGCAGCCATGGCGGCAGTCGAGGGCCATCCCGCAGTGGAGCTCGGGTGGCGGCGGGGGGATCGGGAGGGCGGTGGTGGGGACGAAGCGGTCGGGGTGGTCGGCGTTGTCGAGGTTGTGGAGGAAACCCAGCAGGGGAGGCGGCGCGCGGCGTCGGCGGCGGAGGAGGAAGGCCCGGTCGGAGAGGAGGCGGCGCCAGCGCTTGCAGACGGCGGAGGCGCGGGCGAGGCAGGCGGGCTCGTCGGGGGGGAGGCGGAGGAGGATCTCGTCGACGAGGTCGTCCATCAGCTCCGGCGGATTCATCCTTCTCCGGCTCGCCGCCTCGCCGGCTTCTGCGTTTGGGGTTCAGAGTAGAAATTTGGGATTATCTCACCAGAAGGAAATGGAATTTACCATTCTCAATCAACTTAACAGAATAGTACATTTTCTCCTCCTATCCTAATACATTATTATATGATTATTTTATAAATATATTTATAGATCCATGTTTTTCTAAAAGAATAATCAAATTGTTTTAGACTCTAAATTACCTGCCGTTGTATAGTGTTATAGTTAGACAGTAAATTTCAAAACTTACGCTATAAAACAATATTTGCATTGTAATTTTTCTAACACACAATGTACAAATGAATTAGGATTGAAAGTAATTTACTACTACCTTCCTTTCATGTTATAAGATTTTCTAGCATTCCCACATTTATATAGATATTAATGAATCTAGGCACACATATACATCTAGATTTATTAATATATATATATATGAATGTGGGCAATGCTAGAAAGTCTTATAATATGAAGGAGGAAATACATGCTTGGAAGAGAAGATACGAGATAGAAACATACTTGCATAACATATAAGAGAGAATACCCACGTAGGAAAAACATAACTGAAATTAAGTAAAAAAAAAAAAGACGATCTACTTGCCATGGCGATGATGACGAAAAGATGCCACATGACCCACACCTCTCTTTTTTTCCTACACACCTTACTCTCACTGTACTTCACATCATCCTACCCTCACCGTACTTTTAGAGTATCTCCAACAACATCTCCATATCAAACTCTCCAAACACCCATATAACCAACTCTCCATCTGATTTAGCTAGTCAAACTAGTTACTCGCTCCAACAGCCTCTCCATCTACCATCTCCATTATAAGTCTATGACAAATGGGACCCATGTCAGTCTCTGCTAACCTTCTTCCTTCTCTTCCACCACATTTTTCCCCACCCATACATCTCTCTTCTTCCTCATGTACTGCTGCCTCCTCCCCACGCCCTCTACCTCGGACGGCGGTGGTCGTGGCAGAGGTCACGGTGGGCGACGTCAGGAGGGCGACGGTCACGAAGGACGGCGCGGAGGACAGCGGCGGTCACGGAGGATGGCGGCGGCCGACGGCGCGGGGGACAACGGCGGTCGTGGAGGACGGTGGTGGTCGCGGCTGGCGACGACGCCTCTCTCCTTTGTGGCGTCGTTGATGGCAGGACGTTAGCGAGAGAGGAGCCGGAGAGGAGATGGGAGGAGGAATGTGCGAGGGGCCCATGGTTGGCTAGTGGCTTTTGGCTTGCCAAATTTGGCTAGTGGATTGGAGAGGCTGTTGGAGCATGTTTTTTTTTGGCATGAATGGCTAAATTTTGGCTTGGAAAGTATAATGGAGAGGCTGTTAGAGATGCTCTTATGTCGCTACCACTTTCCCTTCTCTGAGTCCAAAGAGGATAATAAATGGAGTAGAGAGGAGTTAGGTTAGAGATAAACAGCAGAGGAGCTAAATGCAAATATGTTACCATGATGAGTTTCAGAGGGGACTACTTATTAAATTTTTACCACCATTGACAACTATCGACGTTTGATGTCGCGATTCCGGTATTTGCATAGTATGGGGATCGTTGGTACTAGGATATACGCGAGACTGAGGTAAAAGAGACGGAGACAGGGGTTTTTATACAGGTTCGGGCCCCTGAATTGCCAGGTAATAACCCTACATCCTGTTGGCCAAAGCCGGTATTGCTCTTATTCACCATAATCACACCAGTACAATGTTTGGGGTAGCCTATCTAACTGTTGTCGACATGGCGGTCTGAAGATCTGACTCGTAGTCGACAACAGGGTAGTCTTCCTCCTCGAGTTCGTGCCCGGCGAGATCAGAGATAGCGCTTTCGTCTCTCCTGATAGTATCCGGAGACACCGTAGGGGACTAGCCGTGCCAATCCCTGAAGTCGATATCCGGCGTCTTGTCTTGGCGTATGTTGGCTTGTATTGGCTCACAGCTTTGTGACGTCTATGTTACCCGTGTCTGTTGATTGTGGGTGTGTATCGTCGTCTCCCCTCTCCTCCTAGGGGGCCTTGTATTTATACCCATAGGTGTCCCCTTGTTCAAGTAGAATTAGGGAAACCAATATGGATACAATCCGAGTAGTCTTTGTCGTTTCCATATAGAACTCTGGTTGTCTTTCCTTATCTGGAACTCCTCCTATATCCGCAGGTTGTTTCCGTATAGGACATGGTATGTGGTGGGTCCTGCTGAGATTTAGTCAACTACTATTAGTTATGTGGTATCCATAACCCTGACAACAACCATGTCAGCAGCGGAGACCTACCAAGGTGTTTTTCTCCTATTGTGATACATTAAATCAGCATAACTGATCTAAAAATGCAATTTTACAATATTTCTCATATAATTATCTCCTCTTTTTCTTCCTCTTGCTTGTTATCATCTCACCCTTCTGTCTCTGACTCCACCACCTCCTCTTGTGTCTTTGTCTTTTAAATCTCTTTTTTCCAGTTTAGCTTTCCTAGTCTAGCCTGAACAATTTCCTTGCTTTTAGAGTCTCTATATTATTTTCTCTCTTTAGAGGTACTACCTAAGTTTAAGTTAGAGGCAATAGTAATATTATTCAACTCAATCGAATCTAACAACTGAAATATAGCAAATGGATTAATTAGTTGTTGTAGCTTAATGCTCCAAGTTCTTCTTCTAGGTGAGTATCTTAGTTCTTTTGGTTATTGGGTTAGCAGCCATCTCCCTTTGTCTTAGATTCATCCTTGAAGTCACTGCAAGTTCTGTTTTCTTAGCCCTGTTCTTCTTTTTGTTAGACACCTCTTGGAAATTGTCCTCTTCATTATCTTCTTCCTCTCTAAGTCTTTCAATGTCAGAATCAGTGGGAATCTGACATCTCTCAAAATCATCATCAGTTGGGGAACATTCATGCATTAATAGCTTCTCATTTGTCATTTCACCTCCCTCATCTTGAGATTGCATCTCGACCGGTGTCACCATCTCCTGAGACTCTTGTTCTATGACTAGATTTTCCTCCTTCTTCCCCCAGAGCACCATAGTAGTACAACATTCTGTCTTTTCTACTTTCTTCAGCAATGAATCTTTCTTTGATGCCAATTTCTTCAGGGTTTTCCCACTATGAGTCATCTGTGTTTTCCCTATGTAAGTAGGAGGTGCATAATATGTTCCAAATCTGCTCCCTTGTTGGCTCCCTTCACCTCTGAGTTTGTCTCCCTCTTGGACTATTTTTGGTTTTGAACTCATCATCCATGTTCATATCTTCTTCCTGACCCTCATTGTCCTTGTCATCCTTACAATCTCCATCATCAAGGGGATTTTGCCTATTTTCATATGGTGGATAGCCATCTGGTTATCATATGATCATGTAGCCCACCTTGTTGATGTAGATGTGTATGGAGAAGTGTAATTCTCTAGGGTCCTTACATACAACTCTCAGTCTCACACAGGCTTATCTTTCCTCAAGCTAGCTCCCTCAATAGCCTCAAATTCCCCAACCAATTTTATAATTGCTTTAACTGAATCTTCTATTCTGGCTAGTTTGGGTACACCATAAATTTTCACCCATAAAACTACCGGTTCATCTTCTGCCTCTTATGTTATCCTTGTCTCAACCACAATTGCCTTGATCATAGATGTCTCAAAGTCAAAGCTTTTACATGTTGAGATCTTACTCTCACCTTATCAGAAGAAAAATTAATGAGAAATTCTTTCTCATTAAGTTGTTTCACTTTCCACTCCCAATTCTACCCCACAAACAGGTGTTTCAATTCAATAACCACCTTCCCACAACTGTCTCCCCATGGATTACTGTCAAAATTCCTCTTACTAGAGCCCTAGCTAACTCTGTTTCTAACATATCAACTTGCAGGCTATAGAAACCTTGCCCTAGGATTCCAAATCCACATAGTTTGATACCTCTTTTCATCAAATTCATTGGGCAGTGTATAGAGATGTGCTAGTGTTGCGACGTGAATAACAGAGAAAGAGATTTAGACAAGTTGCCTGGTTGTGACCTTCGCGGTACACTTGAAGAATTTGATCTTAGGAGCTCCCGCCCCTCGCTCTGCCTCCACCCCTAGATGGCGCCTTGGTTTGCCCTGGGGTTTTGGGCAAGCAGTTGCCGCCGGAGCTCCTCCTCTTCCCTTGCATCCTGTCCCCCCCTCCCAACCTCCACCGTGCTCCACCGTACAATGTTTGTTGACTTGCCAATCCGACCGATTTGCCAGTTGGCGCTCCATCACCACTTGGGCAAACGAAAACGGTGGTCGCACTTCCTCTCCAGGACCTTCCAAATCCGGCGCGCTGTGTCACCAAATCGCCATATCTCATCACCTCTCGCCAGGAACCCTAGGTGTGGTTGGGTCTCACCTCGCCTTACCTAGATCTACTCTTGCGAAACAATGGGAGAGATATTGGGGAAAATATCCTCCAATCCAATCCTCACCTTAGTTTTGTCATGACTTTCCCTCGGTTGCTCCGCTTGGGGCTTCGATCTCACTGTGGGTGGGCACTGTAGCTAGTGGTCTTGTGTCGCCATTGATGCCGATCTCGGGCCATTCCTCTGTCGAAACTTCCTTCACGGGCTGCAGCTTCGCGCCACGAGCCTTTGCTTTTGGGCCGCGTGCCACTTCCGTGAGGATATCCGCATGGGTAAACCCCATGGGACACCGGTTGGTGAATGGTGATCCCCTCCGGCAATCGCCAACGCGAGGACCTCGGTGGTATTGCCATGTTACTCCTGCTCTCCCTAAACCCTAAGCTCAAAGCCATCTTTCCTCAAAAGGCAAATAATTGTCAACACTGGCTGCTTCCGCTATTCATGATGCACTAGGCTCAATCATTCAATCGATTCACTATAGTGAGTTAGTGACCTCTGCTCGTAATTGTCTGTTCCTCTTGAAAGCAATGGCTCCTCTTCCGGCCGCCGGCGCGGCGGGGCGCATCATCCTGGCGCACGGCGCGTGCCACGGCGGGTGGTGCTGGTACAAGGTCGCCGCGCTGCTCCGCGCCGCGGGGCACCGCGTGGACGCGCCGGACCTCGGCGCGGCCGGTCAGCGAGGCCTGGGCGTGGGCGGCGCGCCGGCGTCGTCGTTCGCGGACCACGCGCGCCCGCTGCTCGACGCCGTCCGCGCGCTCCCCGACGGCGAGCGCGCCGTGCTGGTGGGCCACAGCTTCGGCGGCATGAGCGTCGCGCTCGCCGCGGAGACGTTCCCGGACAAGGTCGCCGCCGCCGTGTTCGTCGCCGCCTTCCTGCCGGACTGCGCCAACCCACCCTCCCACCCCATCGACACGGTAATAAACTCATACCATGATGACAAAATTACGCTTTCTTTTCCTCTTATTTTCGCCATGAATTTCTGCCACTGCCAGTATCAAGAATCAGATTGGATGGACACCGTGATCGATCCAAGCCACGTCCCACCTTCCATCCTGTTCGGGCCGGAGTTCCTGAAGAAGAAGCTCTACCAGCTAAGCTCACCGGAAGTGCGTCTGCTAAACTGTTAATTAATCACTAATCGCACAACTCCTGATTAAATTAACCATGATCTAATCAGTTCATAACCTAATCAGCACAGGATTACACGCTTGCGAAGAGCTTGGTTCGAGCGAGCTCCTTGTACGTGGATGAGCTGCGGCGGCGGGCGGCGTTCAGGGAGGACAGGTACGGCGCCGTGAGAAAGGTGTATGTGGTGGTCGAGAATGACATGGCCATCGTCCAGGAGCACCAGCGGTGGATGGTCGCCAACGCCGAGGTGGCGGAGGTGAGGGTGATGGACGCCGGCGACCACATGGCCATGCTCTCCGCGCCGGAGGAGCTGGCTGGGCACCTCGCCGACGTCGCCAACACATACATCTAAAATTAATGCGATTGATGGAGAATTAGTTAATTTGTTTTCTTTTGGATGACATTATGGTGAAACTTGATTTGGGTATAGGATTAGTACTAAGTAGGGTTAATTGGATCCAGCCATTATAAATTTGTCTATTTGAAAATATGACATTACAAACACATATTGTAAATATTTACAATATTTTTAATATGTACAATAGTTTTTTTAAAAAAAATAAATCCATTTTCAATATTTACAATAGCTAATATTTAATTGAGAGTAAACTGTACTTTGGACCCCTTTTTATTAACTAAGTTACATATTGCACTAGGTAATATCATTTCTTTTCATTTACACTATGTTTTAGTATTACCCAAACTTGCATATTGGACTGGTGACTCACATGTAAGTGAGCAAGATTTTCTTCCTCCTCCTCGGTATTCCCTGAGCCCGTGTGGTGCATGTCACTCACCAGCCTTGTTAATCCCCACGGCAGTCCCCTCTTCTCACCATGCCGAAGAAAGATCCATCCTCTTCTTCCCCACTCCACCAAACGATGATGAGGTTGAGCGCGCTGGATTTGGGATGAAGTGGTGAAGGTGGATGAGCCTGTGCAGCACAGTGGTTGAGTTCGCAGATGAATTGGAGCTCGATCTTTAGACGTGGAAAGTGCTGGAGCTCGAGCTCAGGGCAGGATGTCCTCTTGTTCTTACCCGGCAGCAAGCAAGCAAGCAGAGCATGGTGACCTCTTCACCTCTTTCTCATTTTTTGCTATCGGCGAGGAGCCAGCTTGAGCTTGTTTGGCCCTGTTCATGGCGGCAACTACAAGCTCAGATTTGCATGCCTAAAGGAAAGGAGTACAGAGATGACAAGAACGGGTATAAGGTGAAACGTTTAGCAAAAATCTGATTCAGAGTGAAAAGGGTAAGTTAATCCTAGTCCAAATTACAACATGATAAAAAGAGACGGTTCAATATAAAATTTACACTTTAATTAATAACTAAAAAAGTAGCCCGCGCATTGCATGTGTCATAGGTTGCATCTGCAATGTGTCATAGGTTGCATCTGCAAAGTGTGATTTCTCCGTAAATTTTCTTTGTCAGAATTGCCTAGGTAATTTTGTTAACTTTTATACTATGCAATATTTAATACATCCCTATAAATAATTTTCTATAATATTCTTATCATCTAAAAAGAAAAAGAAAGGTAGACTTAGTTTTTTAGGAAACAAATTTAACACTTAAAAGTAAGATTTTTTTTCTTTTTTTACTTTAGTGTTTACGGCCTCTCAAATGCATTCTATTTTTACCATCAGGCTAGCCCTCCTTTTATTTGGTTCACATTGATGTGATTTGTTAAATACTTAGATATGAACAATAAAGACAGGGAAAAAATATATATCATAGAACTCACTTCCCTATGATATTGGTGACCTATGGTGTTTCTTTTTTAAAAAAAACCTAGTCAACATTAGTTTTAAAACTTAAATATAAAAAAAAATACCTAGTCAACTTAAATATAATTTTTAAATCAATTATGTACTACTACCTTAGTGTGGCTTATATATGCAATAATATGTGAAAAAATTCATGATGCATGGCATATGATACAGAGAAGGCCATTAATATATAACTACTTAAAAATAATGCAATGGTTATGGCAAATGGGTGTTTCAATGTAGATGAGAATTAAGAGCCAAAAAACTATAAAATTTTCTCCAATTGGTTCAATTTAGTCCCTATTGACATTTTTTTTTCTATTTTTTGTTTATTTTATACTAATCTTATTTTAAGTCAACTTTGAAAAATAATCACCAAGTTAAGACTGATATAGGTTCCTATTGTTAATTAACAGATGGATTGTGTGGGATATGAGGCTACACTAAATGTATGCATTTGTAGAGTCCAATGCGATTGGGGAAGTGTGGGAGACGATCTATTGGAAATGTTTAATGTGGAGTGTGCGAGGCTCAATGCATCCTAGCTAGTATTAACATGATCAGACGAATAAATATAGCTGCACAAACATCACTATTTTTGCAATGTGATGTATTATGATTGCTTCCATAATTTTAATATTTTTCTATAAAATTTATATTTTAATGCTAGAAATCATGTAACTATGTATTTCTTTTTAATCCAGCCTACACTTGGCATGAATTAAGTACATTTATATTATATAATCTTTATGTGAAGCCTACAATGCCAATCCAGTTGCGATAATTATGTTGCATTCCATAAATTTGTAGAAAGACCCTAGAATTTTTTCTAAATAATTTAAGTGAAACCGATGATCATATTTTTTTTCTCCTCGGATTTCTAATATGTTTCCTAACTTTTAAGAAGGGGCAATGTGGGTGCTTATGGTTTTCCAAAAGGTAGATTTAGTGGTTGGGAATAATAAAATTGCAAGACTTATATATATGGTCTTTAGCATCACTTATATGGTTAGAATTGGAAGACTGATCCATACTTGGAGTTGAAAGTCCTTCCACACATGCTGAGCAATTGGTCTCTCAAATTACTAATCTCTAATTGCCTGCACAAACCAATGATCAAATGTTTTACTTTTTTAATTTGAATTTCTAAGTTTTTTTTCTAGTTTTAAAACAATGACACATGGAGACTTAAGAGCATTATAGAGGATGTTTAATGGTTCTTTATTACGTAGAATAATTTAAGATGACATAAAACTTATCATCATTATTTTCAATGCTTTATTGTTATTTGGTTGAGGTGCAAAAGATAGGGGCTATGTTCAAGATTTTCAATAATTTATATAACTATATAAAAATTAAAATTAGAATGTTATTTGGTTTCCATGCAAAAGAATAGGGGTATATGTTGAAACGACTTATTTGATTTTTTTTATATGAGTAATATAAATCTCGAGTTATTTAGCTATCCATTTGTAAAACAGTTCAAACAAATTAAAAAGCAAATATAACTATAATTTAGCTATGTAACTATTAGATTATTTTATTATTATGTCATTAGTTCAAAATTAGGAGGGGTGAATTAAATGGGAGGAGGAGAGGAGGGGAGAGTGGTGCGGAAGGAGAAACATATAAATGTAAAGCAGCAGGGGGAGGGGAGGATAGTTTGTTTTCTTTACATAGATCCAATTGGTCATCCATTTGAGTTGTCTATTTTTAAAAATAGATCTTGGTTGTTTTTGCCATAGGTTCGGATACAAGATTTATTAAAACCGTGTATTTCTAGTTTCACAAATCCATTTATTTATATCCGCGATTACATTGATAGCATTCGAATAAATCATTTTGTTCCTATTTTAGATGAAACTTAAATTTTTTAAACAACTATAATTTAACATGTAAATTTCAAATCTACAATGGATCAAAGATATAGAGCTATGCCAAACAGATCCTAATGGTTAAAATAACATGCCCACCATTTTAGGAATAAACGTTAGGTGTTTTTTTTCTCATGATTTCTAAGATTTTTTATATTAAGTTGTTAGTTAGAAAATAGAATAGCGAATTAAATGGGAGAGGAGAAGAGTGAATTAAATAAATCTGATGTGGTGTTTCAATTTTTAAGTTTCCTGTTTTGATTCTGACATTAATTTATCCATGTAGTATTATGTGGATCATGCACAATCTTTAATTTTAATTTTGTTGGTTTAATAATCTACTCCCCCCATCTCGTATAATCAGACTAATTTAATGTTGTAGATGTTGCTATATTTTTTTTATAAATTTGGTTAAACTTTTTAGGTAACGAAACAAAATCAAAGGGTCGTACACTATGAAATATGAAACGGAGGGAGGAATAATCTCTCGAGCATGCAGTCCTTGATTGTTTTGGTGCATTAATTTGTGGATCAAGTGCAGTCTTGAATTATCTCTCGATCATGCAGTTCTTGATTGGGTTAAAAATTGGAGTCCTTTTTTTTAAAAAAATTAGATCTAATGTAAATCAACAGTTAGATATTTTTCTTTTTTATCAGAATTTTAGGATTTATTAAAACGCCACGTGGTGGTTTAGGAGCGTTTATAGTAAGACACGTGTCGTTTCAGGAGTGTTTGTAAACAATTTAATAAATTTTTAGTATATAATAGATAGATAGATTTGTTCTTTTTTTTAAGCCACCAACCGGCGCAGCCAAATACTATCCTGCTAGTTTTATCAGATATTTTTAAGATGAGCATGGGTTTTAAGAAGGTTGATGGAAATGATTGAAGAAATATTGCGATTTATCGAGAAGAGAAAGTATATGAGAAAATTAAATGGATAATAGTCGTGACTAATTGAAAAAATTAAAGGATATATATGAAAAAATAGCTCCATTTTAAGATATGATAGCTGCTAGAAATAGATAAATATTTTATAACTATAAGTAAACGTCCCCTACCAATAGCCACATTATTTGACTGGACTATAAATTTTTATATATTTTTTTTGTCGAATCTTGGAAAATGAGTCACGCTCATCATAGGGACAGGATCCTCTACAGTTAAAGTCATGTAACTTTGTCACTGTCACGTGGGTCTAATGATCCCTAGCTCACATGTTAGTAACAAAGAAAAAGAAACTTATCCTTGTCACAGACTCGCAACAGCAGGCAGTGCCAGTGGCGGCCCGGCGCACCTCCCAGCCTCCCCTCCCGTTGCATCAGCCGTGACGCACTACCCGACTCCCGTGGAACTCATACCCGCATGATGAGCCTATATCAATGCCACATTAATTGCCAGTTTGCCACGGTGCGCTGAATTACTAGATTCGCACGAGCAACAGTTAGCTAGCTATAGCCGGCGCCATCATGCCCTCGTCGACGGCCGTCGTCCCGGCAGCGGCGGAGGCGAGCAGCCGCATCATCCTGGTGCACGGCACGGGCCACGGCGGGTGGTGCTGGTACAGGGTCGCCACGCTGCTGCGCGCCGCGGGCCACCGCGTCCACGCGCCCGACCTCGCCGCGTCGGGCGCCGACGCGCGCCGGCTGCGCGACGACGACGCGCCCACGTTCGACGACTACTCGCGCCCGCTGCTCGACGCCGTCCGCGCGCTCCCGGACGGCGAGCGCGCCGTGCTCGTGGGCCACAGCTTCGGCGGCATGAGCGTCGCGCTCGCCGCGGACACGCTCCCGGACAAGGTCGCCGCCGCCGTGTTCGTCGCCGCGCTCATGCCAGACTGCGCCAGCCCGCGCCCCGACGTCATCGAGAAGGTAAAACACACATCCAAGAACACTCCTCCTCTGTTCTCACTCGATCAAGCTGACGCAATCTTCTTCTTCTTCTTCTTCTTCTTCTTCTTCTTCTTCTTCTTCTTCTTCTTCTTCTCCGGGGAAGCTTCCATTGACGGACTGGGTGGACTGCGCGACGGACGAGGAGCACGCACCGCCGTCGGTGCTGTTCGGGCCGGAGTTCATGCGGCGGAAGCTGTACCAGCTGAGCCCGGAGGAGGACATCACGCTGTCGCGGAGCCTGGTGCGGGTGAGCTCCTACTACGTGGACGACATGCGCCGCCAGCCGCCGTTCGGCGAGGACCGGTACGGCGCGGTGCGCAAGGTGTACGTGGTCTGCGGGAAGGACCAGGCCATCGTGGAGGCCTACCAGCGGCGGATGATCGCCGGCTGCCCCGTAGAGGAGGTGAGGGAGATCGCCGGCGCCGACCACATGGCCATGTTCTCCGCGCCGGTGGAGCTCGCCGGGCACCTCGCCGACGTCGCCAACACCTACACTTGATTTTGATTGTACTAGCTGACAACACGTCGCCAGCATAACATACCAAGGCCGTGTTTAGTTAGATACCCAATTTTTTTTTGACGTATACGGACACACATTTTAAGTATTAAACATAGACTAATAACAAAACAAATTATAAATTCCGTCTATCAACTGTGAGACGAATTTATTAAGCCTAATTAATCCATCATTAGCAAATATTTACTGTATCACCATATTGTCAAATCATAGCGTAATTAGGCTCAAAAGATTCGTCTCACAATTTACATGCAAACTGTGCAATTGTTTTTTCCGTCCACATTTAATGCTCCATGCATGTGTCCAAATAATTGATGTGACGGAATTTTTGGATGTTTGAAGAAAAAAGTTGAATCTAAACACAGCCCAAATCGGGAAGAGTAGACTTCACGCTCTCACAACAGTTCTAGTTGGTTGCCCGTATTCCCCTAGCCTAGCTCATCTCTCTCATCTAGGTTAAGTTTGACCTGGCTAGGAAGATACATATACAGCTATTGGTTGTTGCATTGGTCTAGCCACGCTAGCATGAGGTTTTGTTTGGTTACCTATACGATAGATACAATTGAGAAGAGATTTTGTTTGGTTGGTTGCATGGATGTAAGTGTGGTTACCTTCTCATATAGTTAGGTGAGGTTACCTCTACAATATATATAAAATAATTGAGCATTTTGGATTAACCCATTTTTCACGTAGAATCGGTGGTAAGAAAAGAAAAAAGATATTTTTCTTAAGTTATTCTCTCCTTTTCAATACCAAGCACCAAGACTGCGTCGTGGTACCAATCCATTGCTGAGGAACTAAGCGGAAGCAACGACTGAGACCAACCTTGCTGCGAAGAAAAGGGCGCCGCCGAGGAAGATGTCGCCAGCGTCGCTGTGAAGGAAGATGTCGCCGGCGCCGTTGCTGATGAAGAGGCCGCCGCAGCTGCCGCTGCTGCCGAGGAAGAGGCCGCCGTAACTTCTGCCAAGGAAGAGCTCGTCGCTGAAGATGGCGCTGTTGCGGAGGAATGATGTCATGACGAGGAGGAGGAGCGCGCAAACATTTTTGCTGTGAGTGAGCGAGAGTGAGTTGATCGCGATTGGAAATAGAAATTCACTCCCCAGAAGTGAGGTACGATATATCTATATTTGGGAACCTAATCTATTGAAAGATAGGATAGGGATTCTCTTGGAGACGATTTTTGACAAAAAATTCCTAAATTTGATGATAAGGAATAAAATAAGTAAGATGTTGGTGATGCTCTTAATTCCCCCTCCAATCCACCAAAATTCCCATGTCTACAAACCAAACAAAGCAGCTAACAATCTCATCCCTTTACACTTCCAATCCCTTCTAAGGCTGCGTTCGTTAGCCTACGTTCCTAGCCTGCACAGTGCTCATGGAAAACAGAGCAGTCCATTAGCGTGTGATTAATTAAGTATTTGCTAATATTCTTTTTCAAAAATGGATCAACATGATTTTTTAAAGCAACTTTCGTATATAAACTTTTTGCAAAAAAACACACCATTTAACAGTTTAAAAAGCGTGCACGCGGAAAACGAATATGGGTTGGGAACTAGGAGCATTGAACACAGCCCTGTTCCTGGTTTCTATCCGGAACCGTTCGCACGGAAAACAGAGCGGTCCATTAGTGCGTGATGAATTAAGTAATAGTTAATTTTTTAAAAAAAATGGATTAATTTTTTTCAAGCAAATTTTCGAATGAAAACTTTTGCGTGATGAATTAAGTAATAGTTATTTTTTTTTAAAAAAAAATAGATTATTTTTTTCAAGCAAATTTTTGAATGAAAACTTTTTTATAAAAAAAACACCGTTTAGCCGTTTGAAAAGCGTGCACAGCCAAACTCCCCAGACCAAACGGGTCCTCTACAGCTACTGTGCCAAAGAGGAGAAAGAAAAAAAATAAAAACACAGTATTTATTCGATCCTTCTCCTGGAAGGCTCCCAAGTTTGTGGGAAAAAAATTCTGTGCAGACCGGCTGCAAACCCCGCACCGTGCATACCCGATCCAGATTGGTGACGCGTGGACGAGAGACTGATCCAACGGCGTGTCTGCATGGCTCCATCCGCACCAGGAGAAGGCCCAGCTTGGCTCGCTCGCGTCGGCTCCCGCTCAAGCGATCAGCCGGCTTCGCTTCGAGGCGGCACCGCGGCAGGGATGCCGTACGCGGACTCGGCTCTAGCAAAAGCGAAATCTTTTTCCGGCTTCGTCGTCTTCCTTCGCCAGATTGGATCGCCGCCATGCGCACCGCAGCCGCCAGGATTCCGGTACTTTCTTCACCCGCCTTAGTGAACGACACATGGCCAGACAGCCGTTTGTCTCACCTGTGCATGCGGACGACGTAGTCGCCGGGGATTGTAGAGCCGATGAGAAGCAGAAAACATATGTATGCTCGCCTTGTTATTTGATAGTCATATTTCTTCATACTGGTTGATCTGTGACCATATATATGTTATAGATTACACAGAACTTCGAGGGGATGACCATGATCATGCATGATGAAGTTGCACAACAGGTCAATGATAAAGCTGAACAAGCTTTGATCGTTCTGTTAGATAGATCTCTCTCCCCTTGAGCCCAACGGCTCAAGGGGGCCTTGACCGCGCCCTGATCGGGGGCGCCCAGCCCAATGGCTGGTGGGCCCCCGTCACACTGCGCCATATAAAAGGGGGGTGGAGGCCGGCACGGCACATGGTACGAGATTCACCGCCGCCGCCAACTCCACCCCACAAAACCCTAATCCGATCGAGAGGGGGCGCAGCCAGTGACGGGAAACGCCACCGCCGCATCCACGTCAAGCCGCGACGACAACGACGATGTCCGGCGCCTCTTCCTCCACGATCTCCTCAACCGGTCGGTATCTAAACCCTCTCCCTTTCATCTACAATGTCGTTCATCAAACCCAAATAGAACCACCCGACTAGATCTAACCTAGGTGATCCTAGTGCAAAGTTTAACAATGGTATCAGAGCAACCCTAGTGTTTAGATCGTTTCGGGGAAAGAAATCCAAAGAAAGAAAAGCACAAGATCCGCACGGATCAAAAGAACCAAAAACCCTAACCCTAATTCTTACCTCGTCGCCGGCCGTCGTTGACGCCGGCAACGGAGGGGGGGAGGGGCAAAGAGGCGCCGCCTAGGAGCCACTCGACGGCCGCGCGCGCACCTGCACGCGCGTGCCGGCGAGGGGGCCCGCGGCGGCGCCGCCATCTCCGTCGTCGCCATCTCTCTCTCACACGGTGGGGGTTAGAGACGGTGGGGGGAGCGGAGAAGAGAAAAGAAAGGAGCGCCGGCCATGGCGCGGCGGCGCGAAGGTCGCCGGCGATGGCGACGCCGTCCACGCGGTCGCGTGAGAGAGAGAAGAGAAGAGAAGCTAGGGTTTTCGGCGGCCGGCCGGGAGAGGGGGGTTTTTGATCCTCCGATCTCGGCGCCCGGCCGTCCGATCGAAACCCTAGCTGATCGGACGGCCGGCGGCGGCCGGACCGAAATCGGCCCAAGTGGGGAGCGCGCGGCGGCGGCTTTCCCGGCCCAGGCCCAGGTTGCGGCCTGGGGGAGGGGAGGGGGCGCTCGCCCGCGCGCAAAGTGGCCATAGGCCGACCGGCAAAGGCCGGAAAAGTTCAATTTAGGTCCCTCGGGGCCGAAAATGAATAAAAGAGAACAGTAGCAATTTTTCCATTTTATTTTGTCGATTTTTCATGCAAATTTCAATAGAATTTTGAATAGATTTTTGCATGTTTTACCTCTGTTTAAATTTGAACCAACGGGAGAATTTTCACAGAGAGAGAATTACAGAGATTTTGCTACTGTTCATATGATTTTATATAGTCTTCCGCTGCAAATAGATGAAATTGATGAAAATTAGTGTTTCTAAAATTAAATTTCGAACCAACGGGAGAATTTAATTTTAGGAACATTAATTATGTGCTATGATGTTGTAATTTTCTGACCAACGTTGTTAATTGCAATATTATAGTTATGGTTATATGTGTTATGTCTAATTCTGCCCAACGGTGATGTAGGCTTAATGCATAATATTTTAATGTTAATTTTGTTCTCACCGCACATGATTATTTCAGGTGGCTACTCCTTGATGGGTTGCATTAAAGATATTCCGACCCTAAAAGGAGATAACTACGCAGAATGGAAAAGAAAACTCGACCTTGCTTTTATCTTGGGAGAGGTGGACTGGGTATTGACTACCCCATGTCCTATAGAACCTGCTGACCTTGTCAGAGGTGAAAATGAGTCAGATGCTGACTGGCAAAAGAGACAGAGGGACAATGCTCCTCTCGTCATGTCGTATGACATTGAACAAAAGAAATGGTCCTTAGCCAACAAGAAATGTTTGGCTGTGGTAAAGAATACGATTGAGCCTACCATATTGGGCTCGATCCCAGAGTGTGACGCTGTCTCAGAGTACCTTGAAAGAATAAAGAGTCAGTTTACTGGCTCTTCAAAGACTTATGCTACACAGCTGATCAAGCAGCTTGTGACAGAAAGGTACAATGGAGGTGGTGTTAGAGACCACATACTTAGAATGAGCAACATGGCTTCCAAGTTGAAGCCAATGGATTTGGGCATAACAGATGACTTTCTGGTCCATCTGGTTATGGCCTCATTGCCAAAGCAGTTTGACAATTTTATTGTCAACTACAACATAAGTCCAGAGAAATGGAACTTTGAGAAGCTCATTGCTAATTGTGTGCAAGAGGAGGAGAGAATCAAAGAATCAAATGGTGGTTCAATAAACTATGTTAAAGATAAGAAAAAGAACCACAAGTCTCCCACCTCAAAAGGTAAACAGTCTCAGCATCTGCCTCAGCAACAACAGTTCGCTGTTGAGAAAGATCAATGTCTCCACTGCAAGAAGACAGGACACTACAAGAAAGATTGTCCTGATTTTTTGAAAATGATCATGGCAAAGAAAGGTGAGAACATTATTACATTTGTAAATGAATCTCATTATGTTGGTTACTCTAGATCCACATGGTGGATTGATTCTGGAGCAACTATTCATGCTTGTAATTGTTTAAAGGCATTCCGTTCGACGAGGACTACGCAAAGAAGAGAAAGCACCATTAGAGTTGCCAATGGAGTTGAAGAAAAAGTTGAAGCTGTTGGAGATCTTCCTCTAGAGCTCTCGAATGGCTTCATACTTTTACTTCGAGATGTCTTTTATGTTCCTTCTTTGCAAAGGAACTTAATAAGTGTATCAAAGTTGGATTTTGATGGATATGATTGCCGCTTTGGAAATGGCAAATGTGAACTATGGCATAATAATGCATGTATTGGTCTTGCTGTGTTGCGAGACGAGCTTTATTTGTTATCTCTTTCTGAGAATGTGAATGTTGTGTCCTCGTTGACAAAAGAAAACAAGAAAAGAAAGCGAACTCCCGATGTCTCATCGAAATTATGGCACTGTCGTTTGGGCCATATTTCGAGGGGGAGAATTGAGAGACTAGTTAAGAATGAAATTCTTCCTCCATTGGAGTTCTCAGACTTAGAACAATGCATAGAATGCATTAAAGGAAAATTTGTAAAGAGCATCAAAAAGGGTGCAAAACGAAGCGCAGGAATTTTAGAGATCATTCATACAGATATTTGTGGTCCATTTCCTGTGAAAAGTGTGGATGGCTATGACTCGTTCATAACATTCACAGATGATTACTCCCGCTATGGTTATATTTATCCAATTAAAGAGCGATCAGAAGCATTGGATAAATTTAAGATATTCAAAGCTGAAGTTGAAAATCAGCATGATATAAAGATTAAAGTAGTAAGATCTGACCGTGGGGGGGAGTACTATGGTCGACATACGCCTTATGGGCAAGTCCCTGGACCTTTTGCAAGGTTCTTGCTAGAGAATGGAATAGTAGCCCAGTATTCAACACCGGGCGAACCTCAACAGAATGGGGTAGCTGAAAGGCGCAACCGTACCCTTATGGATATGGTGCGCAGCATGATGAGCTACTCCACACTACCACTCGGTTTATGGATGGAGGCGTTAAAAACCGCCATTCATATTCTCAACAGAGTTCCAAGCAAATCGGTGCCCAAAACACCGTATGAGCTATGGACAGGGAGAGTACCCTCGCTAACTCACCTCCGTGTGTGGGGGAGTCCTGCAGAGGCCAAAGTATTTAACCCAAATATTGGGAAGTTGGACCCCAAAACAGTCAGTTGCCATTTTATTGGCTATCCTGAAAGATCAAAAGGCTATCGTTTCTACTGTCCAAACAGTTATACAAAGTTTGTAGAAACGAGACACGCCGTCTTCTTGGAAGACGAAATGATTAGGGGGAGCTCGGTAGTTCGAGAAATTGATCTTGAGGAGAGGCGGGTGTCTGTACCCGCTCCGTCGACTCAGGAACCTTTCTTCTCTCTACCTGCTGATGTTGTGCCTGCAATGCCTGTCATTGAGGTACCAGCACCTGTTGTTACCCCTCCTGTGGCAACAATGAATGAGAGTGAGGAACCTGTTATACAGGATTCAACAGAAATGGTTGCCACGCCAGAGGAGGAGCTACAACAGCCTCAAATAGATAATGTGCCAGTACAGGAGACTCATCAAGAGCCTCAGGTACAGGATGTGCCAAATGTGCAGGCCCCTAGAAGGTCTGAAAGAGTCAGAAGATCGGCTATCCGTGATGACTATAAAGTTTATAATATAGAAGAGTCGCATATGGAGGATGATCCCACCTCATATGAAGAGGCCATGAGAAGCGCTCGCTCATCTGAATGGTTGGAAGCCATGAAAGATGAAATGAAATCAATGAAACTAAACGATGTTTGGGATTTAGAAGAAATTCCTAAAGGAGCCAAAACAGTAGGCTGTAAATGGGTCTACAAAACCAAATATGACTCCAGAGGGAATATAGAAAAGTTTAAAGCGCGACTTGTGGCAAAAGGCTTCACGCAACGAGAAGGGATTGATTACAATGAGACATTTTCTCCAGTCTCTTGTAAAGATTCCTTCAGGATTATAATGGCACTAGTAGCACATTATGATTTGGAATTACATCAGATGGATGTAAAAACGGCATTTCTAAATGGAGATTTGGAGGAAAAAGTATACATGGCGCAACCGAAAGGTTTTGTCATGAAAGGAAACGAAAATATGGGATGTCGTCTAAAGAGATCCATTTATGGATTAAAGCAAGCTTCGAGACAGTGGTACTTGAAGTTTGATGGGACAATAAAGAAATTTGGGTTTCAAGAGAATGTCGAGGACAACTGTATTTATTCAAAGTTTAAGAATGGGAGATTTATTTTCCTAATTCTGTATGTGGATGACATTCTACTGGCTAGTAGTGATGTCAGTCTACTGCAGGAAACAAAGAAATTCTTGTCCTCAAACTTTGACATGAAAGACCTCGGTGAGGCTTCATATGTTTTGGGCATAGAGATTCACCGAGATAGAACAAAGTATGCATTGGGACTTTCTCAAAAGACATATATAGAAAAGGTGTTGAAGAAATTCAACATGTACAGATGCAGTGCTACACCTGCTCCTATAATGAAAGGCGAAAAGTATGGGGCATCGCAATGTCCCAGAAATCAGTATGAGCTCAATAAAATGAAAACAAAGCCATATGCGTCAGCTGTAGGAAGCCTACAGTACGCGCAAGTGTGCACACGACCTGACTTGGCATTTGTTACCGGGTTACTTGGCAGATTTCAGAGTAATCCAGGCCTAGAGCACTGGAAATTGGTAAAGAAAGTGTTGCGTTATTTGCAAGGAACAAAAGGCCTCATGCTGTCTTACAGAAGATCAGAATCACTCCAGATAGTGGGGTACTCAGATTCTGACTTTGCAAAAGATAATACAAAGTCAACATCGGGATACGTGTTTACCCTGGCAGGAGGAGCTATTTCATGGAAAAGCTCAAAACAGACTATCACTGCAGGGTCTACTATGTATGCCGAGTTTATAGCATGCTATGAGGCAACGGGGCAGGTGAACTGGCTAAAGAAGTTCATACCCGGTTTAAAGGTGGTTGACAGTATTGAGAAACCACTAAAGTTATACTGCGACAACGAACCCGCAGTAATGTACACTCACAACAATCAGTCAAGTGGTGCTGCCAAACACATTGACATAAAGTACTATGTTGTGAAGGACAAAGTCCGGGATCAAACAATCAGTCTCGAGCACATTAAAACAGAAAGGATGCTCGCGGATCCGCTCACGAAAGGCCTACCACCCAACGTGTTCAAGGAACATGTAGCCGGCATGGGTTTAAGGGAAGCCTTATGAATCCTGGACTACAGGGCCCAAAAGTAAAGTATCTGTTTCTGAATAGAGATGTGTATAGTGGCTGTCGAATCCATCGGCGATTGACCGTGACGATGAAACATGCTCTATTTACAAATCTGTGATGGAATAGAAAAAGCTAAAAGAAAAAGTGAGATCAAGGGGGAGAATGTTAGATAGATCTCTCTCCCCTTGAGCCCAACGGCTCAAGGGGGCCTTGACCGCGCCCTGATCGGGGGCGCCCAGCCCAATGGCTGGTGGGCCCCCGTCACACTGCGCCATATAAAAGGGGGGTGGAGGCCGGCACGGCACATGGTACGAGATTCACCGCCGCCGCCAACTCCACCCCACAAAACCCTAATCCGATCGAGAGGGGGCGCAGCCAGTGACGGGAAACGCCACCGCCGCATCCACGTCAAGCCGCGACGACAACGACGATGTCCGGCGCCTCTTCCTCCACGATCTCCTCAACCGGTCGGTATCTAAACCCTCTCCCTTTCATCTACAATGTCGTTCATCAAACCCAAATAGAACCACCCGACTAGATCTAACCTAGGTGATCCTAGTGCAAAGTTTAACACGTTCCTCAAGTTGGAATGGATTTCGATTTTATTCCATTTACTATGTTACTTAACTATACTATTTTACTATGTTACAGTACTATGTTTTACTTCCATTTGCAGTGTGTTACACTTATGATCAGCTATATGTTGTTTGAGAACGACTGGTCTCTGGACATCATATTTCAGATTTGACATTCAAGATTTCAGATTACACAATTTTCCGGTTTTCATTTTTAAAGGAACCAGACAGACAAACCACAATCTTGTTTACACATTGATCCATCACATTCTAGATTTTGGAATACCCAGTCGTAAGCCTTTGTCATTGCTGGAAGCCTGGAACCAGCTAAATGAGCAGCAGATGCTTTGCATAATAATTTTTGTCAGAATGCAGTAAACCATCTGAATATCCCTAATTTAGCACTGCTGCTATGGAAGCCTGTGACTCAGTTTGTGATATTCTCACCAACAGCCTACTCAGTGTGAGAGATAAATCGCATCACTTTTAGCAAAGGCTAATGAACTAATCTGGTTAAACTATAGAAAAACCAACCAGCACCCTAGCTAGCATTTTGACGAAAGACAGAAAGACACGGGCAAATGATCAGACGTAGCAACTACAAAATTACAAAATACATGTCACTTCCAGGATTTTTCTTCATTGCTTGAATGGTGCTCCACTTGCATTGACTTTCGGCGGCGCGTTGCAGATCCTGGTTCTTCCACTGCCTTTTGGCTTTTGCTCGCCCTCGCCAACCCAGCCGCTGCGGCCTCCACCAAAGGCGTCCGATGCCCGTGGTCAGGAGGGACGAGGAGGGGAACACGGCTCGTGCTCGCCTTAGCCAACCCAGCCATCGCCGCCGCCGTCACCGATGGCGCTCGTGGCCAGGGCCCAGGTGGGAGGCCGTGACGGCGGTAGCAGGCGAGAGAAGTGGCCGCATCAGTTGTTGAACGGAGGGGATTGTGGGCTAAGCCGATGGCGCCAAGGAAAGGCAATCCCGACAGATGGAGGCAAGATGGGGAAGGAGATCGCGGCGGCGGTGGAAAGGGAAGTGGGGATCGCCGCAGCAGAAAGAAAATGACGCGAGTGAGCCGCGGAGCCAGTCCATGCGCTTCTAGTTCTGGTTGTGGGAGTCGACGCGAGCAAGCCGAGCTGGGCCTTCTCCTGGTGCAGATGGAGCCGTGTGGGCACGCTGTCGGATCACTCGCTCGTCCACGCGTCGCCAATCTGAATCGGGTGTGCACGGTGCGGGGTTTGCAGCCGGTCTGCACAGAATTTTTTTCCAAGTTTGTGTCCTTTCTTCTTCCAACGGTTGCTCTCCTCTCTTCCGAGTTCCGACTTTCGAAATTTCCAAAACCCTCGATCATCTCCACCCAGCGTCTCAGCCATCGATCGATCATGGAGTGGGAGGATGATGGGGAGGAGGCGGCGGGCTCCGGCGGCCAGCTCGGCGGCGCACCGCTGTACGCGGTGGGGGACGAGGTCGAGGTGCGCATGGACGACCCCGGCTTCCACGGCGCCTTCTACGAGGCCACCGTCTCCGCGCGCCTCCCGTGCTCCGGCCGCTACGAGGTCATGTACTCCACGCTCGTCGAGGGGGGAGGAGGCCGCGGCCGCCGCGGCGGTGGCCCGCTCCGGGAGACAGTCGCCGCGTGCGACGTGCGGCCGAGGCCGCCGCCGCCGCCGCCGCCGCCGCTGGCGGAGGACGGGGCGGCGCCGGGGCGCGAGCTCAACGTGTTCGACATGGTGGAGGCGTACCACAGGGAAGGGTGGTGGCCGGGCGTGGTGTCCGCGGCATGGCCGGCTCGCGGGCGGAAGGCGGCGGCGGCGATGTACACCGTGTCGTTCCCGTCGTGCCGGGAAGAGGCGAAGCTCCCGGCCTCGCTCGTCCGGCGGCGGCGGGCGTTCGTGCGCGGGCGCTGGATGGACGCGCGCGACGTGGTGAGTCAATTCTGCTGAACGGATTGTTGTACTCCGTATTTTCCCCCTTTTGTGCTGGTGGTGGACAGGAGAAACCCTCTTCGGTGCGTTATTCGTGGCTGGATTATTGAGGCGTAAACCTGACATTTGACATGGGATTTAATGCTCAATTGGACAAGATGGAATGTTCATAATTTTAATCGGTGGTGATGTCGCATGTACATGTTAGAGGAACTTTAGGTAGTGTTTGGTAATTTGTTATTTCTAACAAAAAAACCACTGAAGATATAGAAGAACTTCGTTTTTTTTTTTTACCTGTAGGTGAGTGGTGACTTGAACTGATGACCTCAACGACAACAATCAATGAATTCATGTGCTGTTCTAACACTAGGCGAGACTAGGTGCTTTGTATTGTAGATATGAGTGTCCCCTCTAGTTTGCTACTAGTTCAGAATCTGAGATATCAAGATAAGACCAAGTGATGACAAATGCCATACTTGTTTGACCTAATTATCGTGTGCTGAGTTTCTATTTACATGTGGGGGATTTTATTGAATTCAACAAAGCAGTAAGTCATTCTTCGTCCACTGGTTAGTATATGTATGCTAAGCTATTGGTTGCATCCTTGACTACACATTATGATGGATTGGAGAATGCAAATTAGTGTTAATGAGTTCCAGTGAGAAGGCAAATACAAAAGAATTGTGCTTCCAAAACAGTAGCAGTTGAAAAATTGGTTGTACAAACAAAAAGAATTGCCATCTAGAATTTAAAACAATGTCAAACAAGCAAGAACTCCTGCTAAATTTTATGCTAACTGAATGAATTTTATCGTATTCTGAATTGTCAAAAGAATAAAATGGAAGACTAAATGTGTACTCCCTCCGGTTCCATATTAATTGACGTTTTAGACAAGGTTGATGTCAAACTTTTATAACTTTGACCATCAATAACTTTAAAAATATTTAGTTTAAAGGAACTAGAATAACATATATAGATTTGTCTTTCAAAGCACTATAATAAAAGTAAACATGCATTTATTTATTATATATATTATAATAGAAAAATAAGGTCAAAAATATATTTTGTAGACCGTGTCGTTGTCCAAAACGTCAATTAAAATGAAACTGGAGGGAGTAGGCAAAAGGAACTCCGTTTTTTCCTGCATGAACACGAGGCAAAACAAACTCCATGAAACCTGATATCCTTGGTGTAAGCTTCACTGAGAGAGAATGAGACACGGCAACACAATATTTACTTTGTATAACTAATGTTTGTGCTTTTGTTATTTTGAGTGCAGGTTCCAAGGGTGCCGCAGTATGACGAAGGGAGCAATGTGGAAGTCATGTTGGATACAGGAAAGCACCGTGCAGCCTGGGTAACTGCTACTGTCATTAAGATGGTTAGCAGTAAAAACTATGTTGTTAGGCTTAAAAATAAGGAAGGCTCAGTTAACATCGTAGATTACTGCTATATTCGACCACAACCTACCTTTGACAGAAAGAAGTTTGAGTATGAACTGGAGCCCTCTGCAGAGGTTGAAGTGAATCTGGGTGGTGCCTGGTCGCTAGGCGTCATCTCAGATGTTGGAAGCTGTGGATATGGGGTAAGGCTAAAAGGACATGATAGCTCAGAGGAAGAGGACTACATGCTTGTGTTGCGTGCTTTACTCAGACCCTACTGCAAACAGGATGATCAGGAATTGATGCCTTGTACAGCAAAGGTATTTCTCCAACTAGTCATGTTGTTACTTGTGATTTGGGTATTTTCTCCTCTTCTTTCTTGGTACTACCAGTCTACTGCAGTGTTCATTTTTCTGCTGTGAATAAAAGTTTACAATGTTTTCTTGCCGTGCTTGTATGCCTTCTTGGAATATGTGGTGTTTGTCATTTTAATGTCAGTATGCCAGCTTAGTTGTCCCTGTGCTCTGGACAAGCAGGTAACAAAGTTGAACAAGCTAGAGAACAAGAACATAAAAGGGAAGGCGCGCATGCTAGTTTCAAGGAAACTGCCTAACCTAGGCTGCACACGGAGTGGTGGTAAACAAAGACACAGCATGAAAAAGGTTGTCCTGACTCCGTTCTTCTTAAATTGCAAACTTAAATTGTGTCTTAAATTGCAAATTTCCGCGCATTCATACAGAAAAGCCCGCTTGGCGCTTTCACAGGTCATAGTGCTTTTATCAATATATATTTTGACCATCAAATATTGTGCTTCAGCATCTTATGCTAATGACATCATGTTTTTGGTATACGCTTTCTTCCTCCAAGCAATGACATTATCTTATGCTAATGACATCATCTTATGCTAATGATTTAGTTCTCTCCTAAACTGTGTTGTCATTTGGATAATTGTTGTTCAGGAATTTGCTTGTACAAGTTTGGATCTTCCATGTATCTCTGCACCTAAAGATGCTGTTGAAATCAAGGGCAAATCTAGTTATGTCGATGTAGTCGAAATCAGTGACAACTCTGGCTATGATGTTATTCATATCAGCGATGATTCGAGCTGTAACCCTAGAAGAAAGAGAAGGCGACAGAATCTCCTAGAGGAATAACTCCATTCCCGGCATACTTCCTATCCGATTCAAGAATCACAATCCAGGCTGAATATGTCACCAGCACGAAGTCCTTTGAACTGTGACCCGTTGCTAGATGTAATGAGGCATCCTAAAGTAGAGTCGTGCAACCATGTGTTATCACAATCTTGTCGCCATTGGAAACACCACAGGCTCATTTCAACAACAATGCTGGGCAGCTAATTCCTCTGCCAAGTTATCCGGTATTAGAGAAGTTGCCAGTTAAAGTGCTTCCTGAAATGAATGAAATGAAAGAAACAAATCATGCTCATTTACAAGCTGAGTTCTTGGCACCTGATGATTGTACAGCCGGAGACCAAAACTATGCTCTGCCTATAAAAGTTGAGGTACATACGTCTGTTATCTTTATTTGAGATGAAAATTAATCCCTTCTTGATTGTCTATCTGTTGCTAACTCACCTCAACTTAGGTGGAGAGCTGGGTCGCTGATATCCGCAAGAAAGAAGCAGGTACCGGTCTGACTACCTCAAACAACTGTGAGTACTTGTTATAACGACTTTGTGTTACATTCAATTGTAAAACCTGTCTTAACTAGAACGAAAATATCACCAGCAATGCAGACAATTACTGATAGTGGTGAAGACAATTCAAGAAGGCCACGATCAGGAGATTCTGAGATACCAAATTCCAGTAAATTAGAACCATATTCATCTGAGCAACAAAGGTTTGAGGCCGATCTGCCATGCATGCCAGTGCCTAACAATGTTACTATTAATACTCTTCCTCTTGTTACCAGACATACGTTTCAATTTGTTTCTCGGAACAAACTGGAAGTGCCAGTGAGACATAAGAAGGCCCCTGATGCTGTAAGACCATCTACGTTTTCCCCCCTGTTTTATCTTCTGTTTAAATGTATGTGTATTTCCCATCCATGCTTGATCATCTTGATGCTATTTGTACAGCTGGAGATGAATACCAATTCGGTTGTCTTCTCTCCCAAGGAGCAAACACACTGTAATTTGGAGATCTTTAGTCCAAACTGTAAGTCTTGCCACAACTTTAAGATAGTAATTTTTGATGCATTGATACTTAATACTGGTCTGGCTGATCTGAATATTATTTTTCTGCAGCCAAGAAGATCATTGATGCGTCACACTATGAAAGTTATGCGTCATTACAGCAGCATCCTTTGGGCCAATGTCAAGTTCCAAATTATTGGAGTGCTGCAGGGCAATCTTCATTTGTGCATCCGAGCATAACAATGAACCTATTCACAATATTGCCAGCACCTAACAGTCATCCAACTACTTTTGCCTCAAGCTTGTTGATGGGGCCTTGTGAGAAAATAGAGGTTTTTGAGAATCTGCCACAATTACCACATTTCGGAAAGTTGATTGGTTGCCCTCCTGAGCTCCGCGAAGGAAAGGCTCTGGGGCTAATGGCATCCTTCGCAAATATAGCAGAGAGCATACAAAACATGTGAATTCAGGACGAAGAAAACGTCTTTGAGGAGAAACTGAGGTGCCTCTCGGAATTGGAAGAGGACGGATTTGATGTTAGGGCCCTGAAGGAGCGGCTTGAAAACCTCGTGAGCATAAAGAATCACCAGACAGAACTCAAGAAGAAAAGAGCAAGATTGGATCAGTTCATGCTTGAGAGAGAGGTGGACAATGCCTCTGTAGAGCAAAGCCAGAAGCTGCTCGACATAATGATCAAGGAGCTTGAGCTGAAACTTTTAGAGTACCGAGAGAAGAAGGCATCACTCGTGGAGAAGAAAGCAGCGAACTGTTCGGAAATTGCAAAGCTCCAAGGCGACATGGATCAAATTGAGGAGTCATTCCTTTCTGCCGAGTATGATTTCCACACCACCGCTGCTGCGCCGTGGTAAACATTGATGACAGTAAGTACTGCTTTCTTGCTTGCTCATTTGTGCACTGCAACCAAGTCCATTTGGATGGTGTTAACTGATGTGAAACAATGCAGGCAGAGAGCTCTGTTCACAGTTCACCTAGACATATCACATACGCATATGGTTCACTGATGTGATGTGATCCAATGCATTAGGGGAATGAGGCAGCTAGTTCTCTTTTGCCTAGACTTGAAATGCTGAACTTAATTAAGTTTGTATGTATAATGGTTGTCACTTGAATTTGGTAGATCATCTCATTCAATCAGGCTTGCCCCCCTGACATTGATATGCGCTGTTTGGCCTTTAACCCCCCCCTTAGTGTTGGCCAATCAAGCAGCTGTAATTTTCTTTGTATTCTCTTGGTTGTAACCCCTGTACTCCGTTTTTTTTTTCTACTCTAATGTTAAATTCTAGCAGATCTCCTGCCGATGTTCTCCTTAAAAAAAAAAAACAGGCTTGCCCCATCTTCAATGCTAGCTCTGTTCACTGATGTATGTGAACCAATGCATTATTAGGGGAGTGAGGCAGCTAGCTCTATTTGCCTAGACTTGAAATGTCGAACTTAATTAAGTTTGTATGTATAAATGGTTGCCACTTGAATTTGGTAGATCGTTTCACTCTTGCCCCATCTTCAATGTGAGCAAGGTCTCCAACGTCTAGAATCACCTGACCTGGTTAATAGTTTTCTGCTGGAAAAATATGATGCTCCTCACAGTCCTCTGGTTGTTGGGGAAAAGTGAAAACCTCTTTCGGGGATATTCCCAATCTCAACAATGAGAACTGAAAAGCGATCTTATTAACTTAATCTCAGACGTTCTTAGTTTCAGCAGTATGATAACCTGGAGTGAACACTGAACTGACCTTGGTTCTTACATCAGGGCTGCACGCGCACTGAATCTAGAAAAGCCTCTGGAGTAGTACTAATTAATTAACTAACGATATATAGCCAATGACTACTGGTGCAAACCTTATACATTATAGGAGTGTGTAATTAATTAACTGTGTGTGTGTGTGATGAGTTCTATAGCTAGCATTTCTCGTCGGCGTCGGCGACGGCGGTGTGCTGCTGCTGCTGCTCCCGCGAGGTGGCGGCGGCGGTGGCGGCCCACTTGGCGCAGACGAGGTAGGCGGCGAGGTTGAGGACGCTGAGGACGGCGAGGAGCCAGTAGAAGTAGTCGAGGCGGCTGCGGTCGATGGTGTCGCCGAGCCAGGTGGTGGCGCCCTTGACGAGCGACACGAGCACGCTGCTGAAGAAGAAGCCGAGCGAGAGCGTCGTCAGGAAGAGCCCCGTGCTCATCGTCTTCATCCCCTTGGGCGACCTCGTGATGAAGAAGTCCAGCTGCCCCGTGTAGATGAACGCCTCGCCGGCGCCCACCAGCAGGAACTGCGGCGTCAGCAGGAACACGCTGATCGGCGTGGAGTTCCCGGTGGTGGCGGCGACGGCGACGGCGAGGCGCTTCTTCTCGCAGAGCGCGGCGGCGGCCATGCCGAGGATGGAGAGGGCGAGGCCGATGCCGATCTTCTCCAGGTTGGTGAAGCCTTGCTTGCCGGTGAGTACGCGGCAGAGCGGGATGAAGACGCGGTCGTAGACGGCGAGGGTGAGCATGATGGCGCCGACGAAGAAGACGGTGAGCGAGGCGGCCGGGATCTCGAAGCCGGCGCCGACGCGGCGGTCCATGGTGGTGGCCTGCTCCACGGAGAAGGTGATCATCTGCGCGTAGATGGTCCAGAAGAGGATCGTCGTCGCCCACACCGGCATCAGCCTCGCCACCATCTTCACCTCCTCCACGCGCGACACCGAGCAGAGCTTCCACGGGTTGGGCGCCGCCGGCCCGCCCGGCCCGGCCACCTCGTTGTCCTCTTCGCCGGCCACCACCGCCGCCATGTCCAGGCACGGGAACTGCGCGGTGTGCGCGATCCGGGCGTGCTCGGGGCGGTCGTCCTCGTAGAGCTCCGCCGCGGTGGGCGGGCGCTTGACGACCCCGCGCTTCCGCGCCGCGGCGACGAGCACCTGGAGGATGTGGACGATGGGGCTCCCGGAGCTCCGCTTGTAGCGGTACCTCCTGGTCCCGGAGAGGAAGACGGCGATGGCGGCGAGCATGGCGGCGGAGCAGATGCCGTAGGCCCAGCTCCGGCCGACGTGGTCCTGGACGTAGACGAGCACGGTGACGGCGAGCAGCGTGCCGAGGCTGATGAAGAAGAAGAAGCGGTTGAAGAAGAGGCCCATGGCGGCGCGCTCCCGGCCGTCGCGGTCGTCGAACTGGTCGGTGCCGAAGCCGGAGACGCTGGACTTGAGGCCGCCGGTGCCGAGGGCGATGAGGTAGAGGCAGGCGTAGAGCACGGCCATCTGCACCGGCGTCGGCTGCTCCCCGGGCGGCGGGCGGAGGTGGGTGACGAGGGTGGAGGCGGCGAGGAGGGCGGTGCCGATGGACTGGACGAGGGCGAAGACGGCGATGGTGAGGTAGCGGCCGAGGAAGGAGTCGGCGAGGAAGCCGCCGAGGAGGCAGAGGAGGAAGGAGGTGCCCATGAAGTCGGTGACGACGTTGGCGGCGGCGGCGCTGGGGAGGTGCATGGTGCCCGTCAGGTACGTCACCAGGTTCACCGCGATCCCCATCGTCGACAGCCGCTCGCACAGCTCGATCCCCAGCACCAGCGCCGCCGCCACCCACCCCCCCGTCGCCGACCTGTCCGCCGGGCATCCCCGGTAGTCCACCGCGTCCCGCACCATGTTCCCCCCGCCGCCGCCGCCGCCGCTCCACGCCGACGTCTTCTTCTCCACCTCCTGCACGCATGCACACAAATATCCATGTCTTTTACTAACCATGCATAACATATTGCATGCGACAACATGACAGAGTACGCAGTTGCTAATGAAATTAATTAACTAGGAAACTAATTTGTATAACCTACATGTATATATATATGAAATGATTGAACAAGAAATTAATATTTGTATCTCACACGAACCATTAATTCTACGATATATTTCTGTCCACTCCTGGTCTCCTGTAAGCTGGGAGGTCGGTCGAGTGAAAGCCTTGGTTGCTCGACGACCTCGTGGACTTGCGATCTCACCCTTTTATAGGCGCCAAGACGGGGGCATGCACAAACACCATCAAATTAACTTAACCACTCATCATTAATTAGCGTCGAAAGGGACTTGCACTACGTTCTAATCCCTGTTTATGCAGGATGTTTCTGCTGCACACATGCAAATGGTGGTGGGGGCAGGAAATGGGTACAATAATGCAAACCTATGCATATAACAATCCTAATTATATATATTCAGACTATATGATCGATCTGTCAGTCATAAGGGCACACACAAGAAAGTGATCAGATCAGATCAGCAGGTAGGAGCACTTAATTAAGCTAAGCTAACCCGGCCTCCATGCGTTGTCGTTGGACGGTCACAAAGGGGTCAGAGGAGAGAAGAGAAACTGCGACGTGGAAACTAAGAAAAGTGAGCAGCATCAACTGGGGGAGATAAAGTGTAGTACTAGTATGAGATGAGATGAGATTGGTGAGGAATTGAAGTTGGGGTTTCCCCTCTCTAGTGGGGAATGTTCCAGGAGCTTCAGCTACTACGGCAGCTGCATTCTGTTTGTGTACATATGCATGGGCCCTCTCATCTCATGCCCACTAGTGATCTCACAATAATGCAAAACTAGATATATAAATACTGATAGACAGAGGCAGGGGATCACTGGTTGATCTTGTTGTTCTGTCCAACTTTTCCAATTTTTCACATGCACTTGCTAGGTGCAGATCATTAGCAGATACAATTAGTATACGTTTGTTGTATTATTGAGCAATGCTGTCGATCAGTTGTGGCTCTAAAAAGAGAGAAATCAGAAGAAGGCTATTATAACTTAATAAGAAAAAAAAGTCCATTTTGCTCTTTCTAACTTTTTCCCTTGGAGCACTTAACCCCTTAGACAATTTCTCGACTCATTTAATTTTGACACCCCCACACTATTAAAAATGGTTCACACCTTACTCTCTAACAATATTTGTCTTTTTCGTTTCTCTCTCTATATAGGTCATATTTTGCAATGAAATTTGATAGGATTGATATATGCATTATAACTTACCTCTCAATATTTTTTGAGTTTTTAAATCGCTGCTTATATAGGTTAGAAGCACTGAGACTAATTTAAGAACAGAGGTTTTAAATTTCAAGCAAAAAGTCATGAAAAATTTTTAAACTATTTTGGAACTTCGATAATGGTGTCATATATGACTTTACAAAATTTAAGCTTAAAATATGACTTGTATAAAGAGAAATAAAGAAGATAAATGTAATTAACCAGTCAATTGAACTATTTTTAACATTTCAAGAGCTAAAATAAGCTTAAAAATAGTTTAGGGGGTTAAGTGATAAAATGAAATAGTTAGGGGGAGTAAATTATTTTTTTTTCTGTTAAATTCACATCGCTAACTGAATTTTGAATAAGGACTAGCTAGGTAGTGTCCTCCCACTTCCTAGATATGAGAGTTTCACCATGATATACATATTTTAAAGTTTTTTGAACTTTTGAGTTTTTTGTTTTATTAGATGTTCTGGTTATCTACATTTGACACCCTTCTTCCTACCAAACTCGTTTTGCACAATTGCCCTTCGAGAAGGTGGCAGGGTTCTAACTTCTAAGGTGATTCTTCCTGTTATCATTTTTTTTCATACCATTATCTCATTAACTATATTTTATTATTTAGTTATTCTAGTTTTATCATTTGTGTTGTTTGATCATTATTCTTTAGAAATTCAACATGTTTCTTGTAAGAATTCTGTTATTTATGTCCATTCGCACGCCCTAATCATTTGTAAACACCTCTATTAACTAAATGGTAACATAAGTCACTGTATAATGCATTTTTTAGATAATGGAAACGATTTACACACTGTATAGAGCGTGCATGGAAAATTAAACAACTTAATTTGGCCACATATTGGTAAACAAAGTATATATTCATATGTACATGGAATAGATGATATATATGCATATACCGGGATATTATATTCCATTATCTAAAAAAATATATGCATATAGATTTTGTGAAAAAAAAGGCATACCAAGTTATCATAATTCTAAAGTGTTTGAGATGTCCATTCTAATGTCGGGAATAACAAGTAAAGAAGAATGGAGCTGAGGTAGTAGTACATACATCTCTCGAATATTTAGAAGAACATTTGAGGGAATACATCCCTTTCTGTCCCATTACGCACTCGATCTACAGCTCAACTTTTTTTTCCTTGATGCGGTTTAAAAGATCTCTTTAATTTTGCCCCAACAAAAACAGTGATAAGCCTTTGCTAGGTAGCATGGTGCATATGATCAAGATAAGCACCTTCTTAGCCAATGGCCACATCTAGGAAAACGACCTTGCTTTGCAAAGAGAACCATTAATTGGTATCTTCATGCACACCATGAACAGTACCTATACACTACTGCACATGGAAGCATATATTGTGTCCATATATTTCAGTTAGTTGGATCGATCTGATCAATCAGCTAATGTTGAGATCCTAGATAGATGCATGATGGATCATATCGTCTTCCTCCTCTGGCTGCCATCCCTCCATCTTTTGGAGAGAGAGAGAGAGAGAGATCCCACACCATAAGCATGGAGAAAAAAGGCAGCCTCCCTTTGAATCTCCTCCTCTAATTCCATGACCTCCCACACCTTTTGCACAGGGGCCTCTTCTTTTCCCCTTCTTACACCAGGTCCTCCATTTTGTTGATTTTTTATGTACACATCTCGATGAAATTATATATATATGGGTCTCTGTTCCAACCTTTATATACGTATCGCGCGAAAAAGATCGACAAGTATATATTTTTTTGTCAAAATTCAGTAATATTGTAGCTGGCTAGGGTATCTACCCTGATGATCGATCAAAACGATGGTGACAAGTTGTCAAATGGAAGCCTTCCAATCTGAATCCTAAATCCTAGCCATGCATGTACATATCACAGTAGCCAAAAACCACACATTTTCATAGTATGCACTCTATATATTTCTTTCTCTATCACCCCAAATTCCCAGAAGCCACCAGGTGTTGATAATTTAAGTATGGAATATTTTGTATGACCAATTAACGACAATTGTTTCTTTGCTAATACTAGCAGAACATATATATATGCTTGTAATTCTAGTATTAAGCTAGCTAGATCTAGCTAGATAGTACAAAAAAATGTTGAATTAGTTAATCCATCGGACATATATATGCATGTTAACTCCATATATATTTTAAACTTAACTAGGAAGATAACCCACGCATTCACGTAGGCATGCTTATTAGTTTGTTTGAAAATAGTTCTAACAAAATAAGTTGAAATTAAAGTAAGGTGATTTCTATTTTTAATTGAGTGTTCATCGTATCTTTTTTTCTGAAGAAATCTCGATAAACTTTTATTGGTAATAAATGTATTTTTTTACCACCCTGCAAGCCCTCTCTTTAAAAATTCATATACATGCAATTCGTTATGCATGTGAATCAATAAAGATGGAAAAGTTCTTTTAAAAATATTTATTATATTTTAAATTTAGTGATCGAGTTATTCTAATTTCAAATCTGTATTCAAATCAAACTATTGTTTTATTCTAAATTGTCATTTTAGTGATTTAAATTATACTTAATATTGTATCGTTTAGTATTTGGACTCATCTTTTTAATAGTTATTTTATTATTTCAAATTTAATATATTTATAACTCATACTTTTATATGAACTCTTGATATTTTATATTCTACATGAAATCTTCTTATTTTTTTTATAGTTTTAATATTTTTTTTACTTTTTGAATGTGTATTTAATCAAATTGCTTGTTTTATTTTTAATTCTGAATTTAGTTATAAACTCCTTGTAGTTGATTTGCCTATCACCATCGGCCTCACGGATTATTTCGTGGATCTCCTCATCAATGAGCCTCTCCTGATGCATTGGACATGATATGGCGTGGCTCGGCGGTAGAGCTGGAGCCGTTTTCTAGTCCTTGTCGAAGACGTGGAACGTCTCTCTCCGCCCCTCTTCTCAATCCTTGTCCTTCATCTAATCATCTAGCGCACTATTAGGCGCAGGAACTCGTGGAAGTCGAAGCTGCCGCTACTGCCGTCGGTGTCCACCTCACCAATAATGTCTTGCAGTTCCGCCTCCGTCGGGTTCAGGCCTAGAATATGCATCATGGTTCTAAGCTCCTTGGTGGTGATTGAACCTGAACTTTAGACTCACATATTTGAATTCTTTCATCGTTTTCAAAGTGCAAATTTTGTTCAAATATTTGTAATTAGAACGGCTGCATTATCTAATTTTTATATAGTAAATATGAGAAATATGGATCTTGAATTATGTACTCCCTTCATCCAAAAGTCCAAGACCAAGGAGCAACTAACTCATTCATCATGTGACAAAACCAATAAACATACAACCAATAAATACTAAAATGACTTATTGGTTCCGATTAATAATTTAATTTAGCACATAGTGACTACAAATAGGACTAGATTTTTAGAGAAAACCAAATAATAGAATGGGTCTTAGACTTTTGGATGGAGGGAGTATTTAATTATAAATAACACAACAAATCAAATAAATTAAGAAAAGTATGTGTAACTTGAGAATCACGATCATTTTGCTATCTAACTATTATCTTTTTATATATTATGTGTTAGCTAGAAAATAGGGGAGGAGAGTGGGGGGGGATACCTGATTTTTTTGGAGATTTAAGGGTGAAAATTATTGGCTCTACCTATTTAAAGGAATATCAATCGTTAGGTTTTCTTTACCATAAATTTTAGAAATTTTCTTCTCGTTTATTAAGCACTGTATGACGTCTTAGGAGCGTTAATTTGTAGAACGCCATGTGACAGCTTGAGAGCTTTTATAGAGAATTCAATGGACTTTTAGTTAGTATATAATAGATATTCAAAATGGAATGGTTGTGCTAGTACGTAGCTAACTGGAGCAAAGCATGCAGTCATGCATATAGAGTGGAAGCTGGCGCAACTTGGTGGCCGTGATGAAATTGTCGGTAGCTAGCCCTATTTCATTTCGGGACCCAAGAATAACATACAGTTGCACTTACCTGTATTTGCTTACCTTCCAATTGCCAAAATAAAAGGGGGTTATGATAGGTTATTGGACTTGGACCTAACTTATAAAGGAGCTCAAGAATGAAAATACATGTAGAAGCTTGGAGAATGGAAGACTTGAGAGGAATAATGTAATGTTGATATATTGTTTGCACAATATTGAACTTATCATGCATACATTGCATAGTGTTCAGGCTTAACAGAAATGCACTATGGTTGGGCGGATTGACTATAGGGTATCACTGCGTCGAGATCCTATATGCAGCTCACTGTAGAACACATATCAGTAAAGTTTACTACGACTGTACATGCAGTACTGCAGAGAATCTGTATCCGGGTATCACTATTATATGCTTTATTTTCCTCGAGAGGGTGAGATGTGCTAATTGAAGTGGCTTTATAAAAGGGGTGGATGTCTGTTGAGTAAGAGGCGGCGACTAGAGGAGGGGAGTGGAAGGAAAGGCAAGGGTAAAGAATGCAAAGTATTTACGTATTATTTTGGAGAAGGGATCT